AAAATAGGGACAAAATAGTATATGTGTTTTACAAGGTTTGAATAAAATGAAATAACGTCCCAAGAAATAGCCTTCGTAGTTTGTCTGGGCTTCTTATTTACCTGTTCACAACAGAGTCTCAGAGTGAACATCAACACTCTGAGATGTAGGTTCATCCAGCTGACGAGTCCCAAATAAGACGAAAAGTGCGTCCTAGATTCCACTTCTAGTCACATCTATCTTTCTTAAAATACTTGTGACTTAAGGCTAGTATCGAGGCAATCAACACAGGATGCACATATCCCAAATGAGACTGCTCAATTACCAATCTTCAATAACAATGGGAACGATACAAGGTAAAACAACATCAAGTTAAATTTAAATTCACATCAGTCGCACAAGTAAGTGGCTATTCAGGACCTCAACAACTAAGTGGATACACGATGGACATTGAAGCGAACAGTATCAAATTCCGATGTCCCATAGTAAATATCAACTCTGAAACGTAGGTACATCCAGCTGATAAGTCCTAAATCAAACGAAACATGCATCAAACTGAATTCCACTTCTAATCACTATCCATTTTTGCTTATCATTCATAATATTGTCCATAATCTAACTTATCAAATTTATTGATTGAGATCATGAACCGATTGATGTTAGAGCACCATTGAAAATTTGAAAGCACTGAACGGCCGTTTCGTTCTATTGTACTATACTCCTTAGCAATGTTCATCTACAATCCCACTCGTGGAATTCAAACTCAGAGCCTTCAGTTTTTGGGCGGGAATACTTAACCTATTAGACCATTGAGCTAGCCGGTCGGTATCCAATGATGTTAATACGTAACCTTAACTAATCCACAAAATTACTCAACCATATTCCATTGTACTATGGTAGATACATAGATTAACTCTACTGGTCATGGCTTCTCATGAAGCTAATCATTAGTGAACATATGATAATGATCGAATTTAATCATCTACATTAGCTATCTATTGTAATCATGATCTAATTTATCAGAATTATTTCAGATTGTGATCATGAACTGATGGATGTTAGATCACCATTGGAAACTTGAAAGCACTGAACGGCCGTTTTGTCCTATTGTACTATACTCCTTAGCAATGCTCATCCACAATCCCACTTGCGGGATTCGAACTCAGAACCTTCAGTTTTTGGGCGTGAATACTTAACCTATTAGACCATTGAGCTAGCCGGTCGGTATCCAATGATGTTAATACCTAGCCTTAACTAATCCACAAAATTACACAACCATGTTCTTCTTTCTTTCCTTCTTTCTTTAAAATACTTTAGATTAGCAGCACATATCAATGATTATCAATGTTATCAAATTGAATTATGTCGTGGTTATGATTATGTATCCTTTCATGAAGATCTAAAAAAACTTTATTATATCGCTGGTATAGATAATAAACCAACTGTATTCTTAATAACAGATAATCAAATTATTATAGAAGAATTCTTAGAAGATATTAATAATATATTGAATTCTGGTGAAGTCTCCAATCTATTCGATAATGATGAATATGAACATATTATTAATGATTGTCGTATAGCAGCAAAAGAATATGGTATTATTGAAGGGAATCGTAATGGAATTTATGAATTTTTTATTAATCGTATTAAAAATAATTTACATATTGTATTATGTATGTCACCAATTGGTATTAATTTTCGTATAAGATGTAGAATGTTTCCATCATTAATTAATTGTTGTATCATTGATTGGTTTATTGAATGGCCTAAAGAAGCATTATATAATGTTGCTATGTATACATTTTCACAAGAGGATTTTGGTTCAAATGAACTTAAAGTAAGTTATGGATTATTATTATTATTATTATGAATAGGAATTTAAGTGAGTTATGGTATAGTCAGTTTTAATTATGTGTAATCTTAATCAGTTAGTTTTTCAACAAACGTAGAACATCGTCAGTATATACGTACATCAGTTCAAGTTGATATACCACATTAGAATAGAAATCCAATTTCACTGATTGAAATCATGAGTAAATTGAAGCTGGACCACCACGAAAACCTAAAAGAACTAGACCCCATCTCATAATAATCATCTGCTCACTAGTGATTAACTTCAAAAGATACTCTTGGAGTTCTGCTGAGAAGCCGTTATCAGTGGAGTTCAACCAGGTCTGTTGTGAGATAGGAACTCACTGAAGACAATAGTGTACGTGGCGTAACTTCGTGGATTGGTGAAGTTAGACATTAACACTGTTGGATGCAGGCTCAGTGGTCTAGTTGGTTAACCGCCTGGTGCGAAACTGATAGGTCCTGGGTTCGAATCTCACGGGATGTGGGATCGTGTATGCGCACTGCTGAGGAGTCCCATACTAGGACGAAACGGCCATCCAGTGCTTCCAGGTTTTCCATGGTGGTCTAGCTTCAATTGACTCATGATTTCAATCTGTGGAATTTCTTAAATCTCCACAAAACCCCTCTGAAAAATACAGTTGTCAATTCAATTACAATAGTCGTAGAGGTAGTAAAAGTATAAGCAGTAATCGGAAACACTAAGTTTTGAAGATGTTATTCAAGGAGTATAATCCAGTGAAATAAAATTGGAAAGAGAAAACAAGGGACATGAAGAATTCAGAAGATTAGAATTCGTAGGAACACAAAAGTGGATACACCTGCGCACACCATTACAAACTATTTTGAGCCATGTCATTTAAGGTCTATAATCATCGGTTGCTATCATCTCGCGGATCACAACTAGGTAGTCTACACTACCAACATGACTCAGTCCACTTGTCAGTGACTTCATGGATTTGTGCCATGTTTCGGTCTGGCCACCCTTAGCTTTCTTCCATCCTACTCCTAGACCATGAAACATCTCTCATCGGGGCAGTCGGTGGTTGGGCATACGTAACACATGTCCCAGCCATCTCAACTGACGATGTTTCACTACTTCATCAATCGATTTGCCATCCTTACCTAGTACCCGTTTCTTAACAACTGCATTACTTACTCGATGGTCCCAGGATATACGAGCAATGCTTCGAAGACACATATGATCAAATACAAGTAACGGACGAATATCCTCTACTCTTACCGGCCATGTTTCACTGCCATAAAGTAGGACGGAACGAACTGCTGCACAGTAAACCCGTCCTTTGGTTGGTAGACGGATATCTCGCCTACGCCATAAATGACGCAAGTTGGCAAAAGCCAGTCAAGCTTTCTGTAACCTTAATTGGCTAATCTGAATAATTCAATTATCTCAATGATTGGAATAAATAGTCAGTAAAAAAACAGATAACACTCAATAGTTTATTCCAAATATTTGCTGGAATTAATTTAGTTACTCTGCCAGTTTATTGATGTAGCCATTAGAACAGCATCTAAATTCTTCAAGAAAATGTTAAATAACATTTTCAAGAAATACAGAAGCATTAATCTATGTTCAATTGCTCAAAATCAATTCAGAATTTAACATAATAAAATAGTTGGAAAACCTGGAAGCATTGGATGGCTGTTTCTTCTTAGTATGGCTCTCCCGATCCTTCTTACGGGACCCAAAACCAACACTTTCGATCTAGCGCGCAAACCCTGTGTGGTAGTTACTCACTGAAGACAACAGTGGAAGGTTGAGCGATATGTGGATTGGTTGAAGTTAGACATTAACACCGTTGAATGACTGCTCAGTGGTCCAAAGGTTAAATATTTTCACTCGAGACCGAAGGTTTTAACCTGGAGTCTCACATGCAAGATCGTGGATGGGGATTTCTGATTAGTTCCATACAAGTATGAGACTGCCGTCCAATACTTCAAGGCTTTTAATAGTGGTCTAACATTGATTAGTTGAAATGATAATTTGAGAATTCTATTCCATATTATGTTAAAGGAAAATGTTTCTAGAAGCATAGAAAAGTTAGAATTACTGAATAACAATTATATTCTTACTCATTTTGAATATAACATTTAGCTCACTTGAATTCTATGGATTCCATGGAAATCATTAGGCTCTATATACATATACTGTGTATTGGTTACTTTAAGTGTTTTAATTGTATTCTTCTCGTTTCCCATGCCTAAAAGGCAACCAGCAAATGTGAACGCGCTTACTAAGAGATTTGCAAGCTATGTGTTTCATTTCTTACGAAATTCTAGGTGAGCATTTTGCTATAGAGTTCTGTACTAGAATGAAAATGTCATCCCTTTATTTTCTCTTTCCAAATTTATTTCACTGGATTAGACCCCATGAATAACATCTTCAAACACTAATGTTTCCGATTATTGTTTATACTTTTACTACCTTTACCACTATGAGATTTGAATCGATAATTGTATCTCCGTTCTAATGTGTTATGTCAACTTGAACTGATGTACGTACGTACTTACGAAGTTCTATATTGTTATTGACTAATTGACTAGTAATTTCAATAGTTAAGATCACGAGTCATTTGAAGCTAGACCATCATGGAAAACCTGGAAGCACTGGATGGCCGTTTCGTTCTATTGTGGGACTCCTCGGCAGTGTGCATCCACGACTTCGCCCCCTGCGAGATTCGAACCCAGGACCTACTGGTTTCGCGCGCGAGCACTTAACCACTAGACCACTGAACTGGCCGGCATCCAACGGTGTTAATGTCTAACTTCAACTAATCCACGAAATTGAGCGATACATTCACCATTGTCTTCAGTAAGTTACTATCTCACAACAGACCTGGTTGAACTCCACTGGTTACTACTTCCTACTAGAACTCCAGGGTATACTTCATGTTTCTGTCATAATATCAGTCTATGATGTAAACTACAAACTTTTACAATAGTCATAGGTCTGTAAAGCTAATAGATTTTTACTTATTTCTATTCTTAACAGGAATCTATATCAAAATTATCTACCGATATTCATTTAAGTGTTTCAGAAGCAGCTGTACGTTTTTATAATGAATTAAAACGTCATTATTATACTACACCGACAAGTTATTTGGAATTGCTTGGATTATATATAACAATGTTGAATAAAAAAACAAAGTGAGTTAGTTCATTCTAAATAATAAGTCAAAGATTATTAAAACTTACAATTGATTGATCACTGGGTTAGTGATCCATGTCATGTATGTCAAGTCCGTCTTAGTGTAGATCAAATCCTATCTACCAAGTTGTAACTTGGTTCATACAGTTATAATTGTGATTATCATCAAAAAATTGTTTATTTCTAAGAAAAGATGGATGATGGCTGGCAATGAGATCCAGGACACGCGTTCTAACCTATTTTGAACTTGTCAGCTGAATGTATCTGTATTGCAGAATTGATGTTCACTAGTATCGTCCACTTCAAATGCTATCATGTATCTCCACTTAGTTACTTAATCATAATGGCTATTAGCTTGTGCAATCGGGTAATTTGGTGTTTTTCTCACTCCCTAATGCATTTTATTTCTCTTTTTTTGTTTAGAGAATTAACTGATGGACGTGATAAATTTCGTAATGGTTTAAAAAAATATTAGAAACTAATGATTTAATTGCTAAAATGGAAACGGAACTAACAGCAATGCGTCCAACACTTGAAGCAAAACAACATGATACAGAAAAATTAATGATCAAATTAAGTGAAGATCAAGAACAGGTAATTTATTATATTCAGTATTTGAATAGATAATGATATACAACAATAACTCGTACTTCATTTTAAAACTTGAAACTTATTAATTAAGTGTTGTTGAAGTTAAACATTAACACAGTTGGATGCCGGCCGGCTCAGTGCCCTAGTTGGTTAAGCACCAGTCGCGAGACTGATAGAGCCTGAGTTCAAATCTCGCGGGGACGGGGTCGTGATTGCTCACTGCTGAGGAGTCTCATACTAGGACGAAACGGCCGTCAAGTGCTTCCAGGTTTCCCATGGTGGTCTAGCTTCAATTGACTCATGATCTCAACCAGTAAATTATCAATTAAGTATAAACATATCATTGTATATGTACTTCCAAAAAATATATGACAATTACCTATTACGTAACCATAGCTACTGGTTTATCTACTCGTGGTTGTCTATTCCATGTATGATCATGGGTATTCTACTCTATGGACGCTCTAATTAGGATGAAACAATCATCCGGTTTCCTTTAAATTTTCATTGTTTACCACATGATATTAGTTTTTGATGAAGTATACCTTACGAATATTCATAAAATCATCTAGTTATTTTGTGTTGTTTTATTTTTCTTCAATCCTTCATTATCAGGCTGATATCGTTCGTAGTCGAGTTAAAGAAGATGAAATGTTGGCTAAACAAAAAGCAGCTGAAAATCAAATTATAGCTGATGATGCACAACGTGATTTAGATGAAGCAATACCAGCATTAGAAGCAGCTAATAAAGCACTTGATTCATTAGATAAAAATGATATATCTGAAATTCGTGTATTCACTAAACCACCACAATTAGTACAAACTGTTATGGAAGCTGTTTGTATTATGCTTGGACAAAAGTAAGAAATATATATAGATATATAGTATCCGCGGCATACTTAACTGACATGATACTTGCTACTGGAATCATGAATTGGATAACTGAAGTAATAGATAACTGAAGATTATAGATAAGGATTCAACTGACTTCTAAGATAAATCAATATGATATATGAATAACCACTATTTATACATGATTTTTTTACAGTCAGATTTTTGATTGAGATCATGAACCGATTGATATTAGACCACCATTGAAAACCTAGAAGCATCCGATGACGTTAATTCTGGCTCAGTGGTTCAGTAGGTTAAGCATACGCGTGCGAGACTGAAGGCCCTGGGTTCAAATCCCGCGGGCAGGATCGTGGATGCATACCGCAGAAGAGTTCAACAATAGGACGAAATGGCCGTCCAATGCTTCCAGGTTTACAGTGGTGGTCTAACATCAATCGGTTGTTAATCTCAATTAAAAACGCAATAATCTCAACAAACTTTATACTTATACAGTCAGACTTATTTATACTAAACTGAGCGGTATTTAACTCCGAGTATTTAATAACTTTCCATGTTAATACATTTACAATATAATACAATTAAACATACAAAACTAAGAGATGCAACTAAATGACCAGGTTATACAATCACTCCTTCTTAAGATTTGATTACATGGTAATAACGATTGGAAAACAACTTTATATGTCGTTAACACTGTAATACATTAGATAATTCTTTACCATATCAATGCACTTTGTCGGTTTTACTTGGAGAACAACAGTCAACAAGTAGCACGCTATTTATTTCTCCTACTTGAACAGTTGGATTTTGATCTGTCATTCAGTCACCGATCTAAGTGATCAGAAGTTATCCGGACTTACGACCGGCAGTAGCCCCAGAGGGGCTCGAGACGCATCACACTTGACAGAGATTGGAGGATCTAAAGATTTTTACAGATCTGGGCAGCATCAATGATGAGCATGCTGGATCTGATGCAGATGTGAATGCACGGATCGGCAAAGCAAGAACAGTATATATACAATTGAAGAACATCTGGAAATCAAAACAATTGTCTCTCAACCAACACCAAAATCAGCATTTTCAATACAAATGTCAACACAGTTCTTTTGTATGGGATGGAATCTTGGACAACTACGGAAACCATCATCCAGAACAGACAAGTGTTTATTAACGATTGTCTACACAAATACTTCGGATCCGTGGGCCAGACACCGTCAGCAACAACTTGCTGTGTGAGAGAACAAACCAGAATCCAGCAGAGGAAGAAATCAGGAAGAATCGCTGTAAGTGAATAGGATACACATTGAGGAAAGCACCCAACTGCGTGCGTCACAAGGCAAACCCTCATCACTTTAAATCCTCAAGACCAAAGAAGGAGAGGATGACCAAAGAACACATTACACCGAGAAAAAGGAAACAGATATGAGAAAAATGAATAACAATTGGATAGAACTAGTAAGGAAGGTCCAGAACAGAGTGCGTTGTAGAATGCTGGTTGGCAGCCTATGCTCCATTGGGAGTAGCAGTAATTAAATAATAGTAATTTGAGCTCATGAGTCAATTGAAGCTATACCACCTTGAAAAACTTGGAAGCACTGGACAACTGTTTCGTCCTAGTGTGAAACTCCTCAACAGTACACACTCACCTAACCAAATAATTTGTTATATTTCACCTAATCATTTACCATTATTATTATTATTTCCATTTAGAGGTGATTGGGCAACAGCTAAAACTGTATTGAATGATTCCAATTTTTTAAGAAAATTAGTTGAATATCCAAAAGATGATATAACTGATGGACAATTGAAAAAATTAAAAAAATTTATTGATAATCCTGAATTTATACCAGAAATTGTTGAAAAAAACAAGTAAAGCTTGTAAATCAATGTGTATGTGGGTTAGAGCATTGAATTTATACGCTCATATATTTCGTACTGTGGAACCAAAAAGGAAACGGTATGATAATATTCTTAGATTATTTCGTTTTAATATATATATATATATATATATCTTTAGACTGTTTTGTTGGTTGATCGATTGATTGATTGGGTGATTGATTGGTAAATTGGTTGATTGATTGATTAGTTGATTTACTGATTGGTTGATTGATTTATTGATTGGATGATTGATTGGTTAGTTGGTTGGTTGATTGATTTATTGATTGATTGAATAAATCATTGATTTTGTTGTATTAGGTTACTTTCCTTTTCCTTCTTTGAAATATTTCCAAAAGTTAAATATTACAATTTAATACCAACTATCTTGCTATTCTTCTTGGAATAGCATTAGATAATTGATGTGTGTGCGAGAATGGTAATGATTAGGTGTTCGCTTCGTTAGACATGTAGATAGTTGAACCGGTGTCAGATGAGTTATATATTCCCCTATCTTTATTATTATAACTGACTCATTATTGATTGTTCATTGTTGTTAGATTGTGTCGGGTTTTTGGTGTGGAAATATATTTGAGCTGTGGTCAGGCTAATCACGTGTTCTTGATCTGAGACGTGTTGAAGTCCTGTAGAATAGACACCGGGAGGGAATCTTGTGTAGATATTCGTTTAAAGTAAATTAACGTCCCATACGTATAAACGTGGAAAACCAACCGCTATAACAATAAGATATGAACTGAAAGTGGTAAAATCAAACCTTGAGTTAATTCAATAATACTTACAAAAGTACTGACTTGAAATAGTGAAGTACTGAAAATTATCTATGGTAGAGTCTAATAAAATGAAAAGTTCTTGATTACTAGTATGCTAGCCTAAAAATTCATACAACTACAAATTGAAATGATGAAGGTTTATAACTTAGGTGAATCTCTTTAGTAGGATTGGGTTTGTTTGAGCTAAATGATTTAATTATGAAGCTTTAATTATCATCCTTATCCAATGTAGAAATGAGCTTTTTGATTACTCCATAGGCATTGAGTATTCTCGTATTCCCGTTCAATGCTTCGTTAGGTCAACCTTCCAATTTGCGATTGATTGTTCTTCTCGACATAAATTGTTAAACTGAATTTATATTTATGGGTGTGCTGCTGATTACAGATTGACATGAATCTCGTGCTTTAAGAGATTTTCGTTTATTCTTGGAATTTTCCCGACCTATTGATTACACATCCATGTAGTGTCTTAAACTGTCTAATATACCCTAGTATCCTATTTAAAACTACCTCATTCTCTTACTTCCAGATTGTGATCAGTTCGAATTCTATACTGATTCTTAAGAATATACTTGTTACTTCTTGTATTATATTGAAATAAAAATATTTGACCATGTGATAGTACTGAGAGAAATATTTCACCTAATGTTTGTGCTGATGATGTCGTCCAAAAGAACGATGAAAGCTTCACGACCAAACCATCCAGCTCAGAGAATGAAACTCCATGAAAAACAGAAATATAACATTTGTTGATCCACGGCATAGTTGATTTAACTCATAATAATCAGTTATGTATATCTGTAACAAATAGATAATGTATGCATCATTTTTTCAAATTGTTGTAATGGGCATGGTCTGAAACTGATACTGATATATGGTGTGCTAAGCGATAACCCCCCCCCTCCACAAATGATTATTTGAGCAAGAATATAACAGTGAGCGAGAAAGTGTCATTGTCTACCGAATAAAATGCACAAAAACTCTCTTGCTCGCTCTATACATATATATCACTCTAATCCTTATAAAATCGATCCATTGCTTATTCAATGAAATGAACTTGTCCTTTAGGTCACATTTGATTATCATCGATGGTCCTTCTCATTAGGCTACATTTTTTTATTATTTACAAAAGACATACATATGTATATCTAGAGTCTTTAACTAAGGAAGTTAAGTGAAATAACCCTAAAGGAATCATAGCAACAGGATTGTATTCACTCGTAACGTCTTTATTAATTTTTATTCTTTCATCTGTTCCTTGATGTTTAATTTTACATTGCATTCTATACTATTCCTCTTTATCTCATTACTACTATGGTTTGGTTGTATTGTTTAATGTAAGTTCTGCTGCATTATTTGTCCAAAATATCATAGTGATTAAAAACACAAAAATAGAGATAGCCAGACGTATTTGGATGAAAAATTACAGAGTTATTTGATAAAATATGAATACTATACGTTCACTAACTGATTTGTAAAATGTCCATTAATTTTCCCACAATTTATTGTTCTTTCATTTGTATACCAATTACTTTCCCCGACCGTTGTTGGTGGTCAAGCTTGCCTATCATGATGAACCAATAGAGCTATACTGGCTACAATAATCGTTCCTCAAGGTCCTAACATGCAAGACAGATCGATTAAAGAGCGGTAAGACTACAAGCAACAAACCCAAGATCCGAAGGCGAAGTCGTATTGCTGACTGTACAGAGGTGTGACAGCAGTAAGGTGTTTCCTTCAGACAGCCAGTATAACAGCGATTCTACCTTCCCACAAGGAGGGGTGGGGTTAGAAAAGGTCGACCCTAGAAATGCACACCTCACCTTATCCCATGGATATCCGTCTCCAGCGGTAAGGTCTCAACAAGTACGGAGCCAAACCGAAAATTACTCACAACAAGGTCGTGTATGACTGACCTCAAACAGTTGTCTCTTGGACACTGTGGTCGAGCTCTCAGGTCACTGAGGTCCACCTCTAATCCAATTTTCTTCTCAGGTACCTTCGGAAGAACCCTTCCACGGTGTCGGTAACTGGGAAGTGATAACCACCTTCATACCTCTAACAGCACTGAAGACCACTGCATTCATAATCAACTCCCTCTTGTCCAATTACTTTCTGTTCCGATTCTTTTTTATTTGATCTCAACCATCTACTACCAGGCATTCTATTTCTCACTAACATTTTATACTACTTATTTTTACATAAGCAGCGCAGACATACCAATTACTCTCTTTCCCTGTTCAATTTTCTTTGATTGTCTCAAACCTTCTGTTACCATGTGTTCCAATTTCAAGTGGTGTCACAAACTACTTATATTTGTCGACACTAGTAGCATACACCACAGTAAATAACTGATTGATTGTATTTGTTTTTTTTTGGAAAAAACAAACTACGGTAATACAAAAACAAGGATATTAATGTCTAACCTCAACCAATCCACGAAGTTGCGCGACCATCTTCTATTGTACTGAGGTAGACACCTGTTTTTACCCGACACGGATCAATTCCACTGATCATGGCTTCTCACCAAAACTCCGAGAATTTTCTCACGAAGCTAATCACTAGTGAGCACATGGTAATTATCAGTTTAGATGGGATGTGGAGATTGTCAAGTTTTTTTTTGGATTGAGATCATCAACCGACTGATGATATTAGACCACCATTGAAAACCTGGAACCGCTGAACAACCGTTTCGTTCTATTGTGGGACTCTTCAACAGTGCGCATCCATGTTGGGTAAAAGACACAGGTATCTACTTCAGTACAATAGAAGATGGTCGCGGAACTTCATGGATTGGTTAAGGTTAGACATTCACATCATCCATCCGGTAGGTTAAGCGTTCCCACGCAAGACTAAAGGCTATGGATTCGAATCCTGTGAGCAGGATCATGAATGCGCACTGCATCATCAATCGGTTGATGTGATCTTAATCAAAAACTTAACAATCTCCACACCCTATCTTATCATATTTACAATTCTCTTCTATTTCTTTCTATATTTTAGTTTAGAAGAAGCAAATGCCGATTTAGATATTGTTATGCGTAAACTTCAACAAAAACAATTAGAATTATTCAATGTCGAAGAGAAAATTACATTATTACAACAAGAATATCATCAATCAATGAATGAAAAAAAGAAACTAGAACAATATTTAACATTAATATCAACTCGATTAAAACGTGCTCATAAATTAACCATTGGTTTAATTGATGAACAAGAACGTTGGAAATTATCTATAGAACAATATAATTTACAATTAAATCATATAATAGGTGATGTATTGATAGCATCCGCTTGTATTGCATATTATGGTGCATTTACAATCAATTATCGTCATGATTTAATTCAACAATGGATTCATCGTTGTTATGAATTAAATATATCACTTAGTGAAGAATTAACTTTATCTCATATTCTTGGTAATAATTTATATGAAATAAGACAATGGTTAATACAAGGTTTACCAAATGATTCATTTAGTATAGATAATGCTATTTTAATGAAATATTCAAGACGTTGGCCATTATTTATTGATCCACAAGAACAAGCTAATCGTTGGATACGTACAATGGAATCAAAGAATCAATTAAAAATTATTAAATTAACCGATTCAAATCTATTAAGAATCTTAGAAAATTGTATACGACTTGGTTTACCATTATTAATTGAAGATATTGCTGAAATATTAGATCCTTCATTAGAATCTATTTTATTAAAACAAACTTTTATCTCTGGTGGTCGTTTATTAATACGTCTTGGTGATAATGATATAGAATATAATCAAAATTTTCGTTTATATATAACAACTAAATTATCTAATCCACATTATTTACCTGATATATCAATTAAAGTAATAATTATTAATTTTACTGTTACATTAAATGGTTTACAAGATCAATTATTAAATGATATTACTAGTATTGAAAGACCAGAATTAGAAGAACAACGTAATCAATTAATTGTTAAAATTAATACAGATAGAAATCAATTAAAAGTAAGTGAAATGTTTAAGGTTTGTTATTTTTGTGTTTATGTATGTGTGCGTGTGTGTATATATGAATGATACCTATCAGTGGCCCCCAAATGACTTGATATGGCTGAGAGTGGGGAAAGTCAGTTCTTTCTCTCTCGCTCTCTGTTATAACCTTGGATCACTTTCACCCTGTCGATACTTTGTTATGACTTGACCTTGATCTGTCTAGTCTAGATTATGACCTTGGCGCAATAGGCTGAGCGGTTTAACCTTGAGTTTAGTATGCGTGAGTTCGAGATTGGGTAGAGAGAGAACTATTCTAGAATCTGATTGGCTGGCAAGCACGCAAGTAAGAGAAGACAAGACGGTTGGAACACTCTGAATTCGGATTAGTGCAAAAACGTACATGAATAAATAGGTGATTTACCCGACCACAACCTACAATAATTTGGGAAAATACAATTATGTCCAAAATTGGGAATTAGAGTAGAAAATAAGGTGCAAAATATTATGTTTAAATTACAATAGTTTTGGAACAAAAAAGGGTATGGCAATGAATCATACATCGAACGAAAGTTCATGTTCTGTAGAATAAAATAGGGACGAAAATAGATATGTGTTTTACGAGGTTTGAATAAAATGAAATAACGTCCCGAAAAATAGCTTTCGTAGTTTGTCTGGGCTTCTTATTTCTCTGTTCACAACACACTTTCTCTCCTAATGCTATCACATGACCACATGTATACAACCGCTGTCAGAGAAATCCTACTCACTGCATTCTCGTGACATTACTGTTGTTTAAGAAATTGAAAGGATAAAAAGCGAATGTCTGGCGGTTTAATTCGGTTGGTGGATACGGAGGATCCACCTAGGGGAGTTGGAAAACCCTCATTACAAACCATTGGTGTCCATGGGCTCCAGGATCTTAAGGAAACAAATGGAGTATGAACCAATTATCGGCCACTGGTTACCATAAGACTGCATCTCCTGACCTTGTCCTACTACTATGTGGCTCAGGGTGTGACCCCCTACAAAAACCACCTGTTCCGGTTTAGGCACCCGGACAGTATCCGAGCCGTCACAGAAATTGAATGATTTATGTGGCACATATCTATTTGGTGCTTTCTTGTACCAATCTTTATGTATATAAATAAATAAATAAATAAATATAAAACCCATCAGTAAGTTTTGTTTGATTATTTACACTTGTAGGAAGCAATTTCCTACAGGTATAACTCTAAACTATTCACTAAACTGTCAAGCACAGAGTCTTGGTTTAGTCAAAGTCAGAACAAGTAAGCTATTTGGCTTGAGAAAACTACTTTATCTGTTACTAAAACATAAATGAACATCGTTAGTGTACAAAAACAAACAGTACAGTCTATGAACACAGGGAAAAACGGAGACAAATAACTTACCGAACAGTAGCTAGTGTAAGAAAAATGAGTCAACAAGGCAAATATTGTTTTACAATGAACATCAAACTGTGATTGGTTAATAAACAGATAAAATCTTACAAGGTCAAAAAAGTTAATGTGGTGGTGGGCGTTTCATTTTATCATTGGTGAGTTCGTTTATCGATCACACTTGACATCACTATGATTTGAAGAAGTATATTATGGGATTATCCAAGATTTTACTAAAGTGAAACTAAATAAAATCAATATATATGGATTTAATAATTTCCAATAATCAGTGTTTATCATTGTGATTATTGATAAAACTATTTTGTTGACTTTGAGTAATTTCGAGAGAAAACGATTAATTGTACGCCTTAGAAATATTGCTGGCGTCTGCTGGGATCACCCGGTAAGTTTATAGTAAGGATAGACGCAGGGTGTAAGGGAATGATGGTAAATCAGTTGACGACGTTGTGAATCCTCATCGACTGAGATGATTGAGCCACGTGTTACGTATGCCTGAACACCGTTTACCACAACACTCAATGTTGACTAGTGTTGGAGACAGCTGGAAGAAAGTTAGGGGTGGTCAAACCAAAATGTGGCATCAGGGCTTGAAGTCACTAATTTCTAGTCTTAGCCATGTTGATAGATGCAGACTACTTGGTCGGGTTCCGCCGTGACTATCGTAACCAATGATTGGAGACTCCTAGTGACATGGCTCAGAATCGACCACAATGGCCTAGATGTATACACTCCCTATCGCCATCTGGTTTTGATTTTGATTTAATTTAATATAAGTGTTCAATCCATGTATTCATCTCTTCAAACTTCAAAGGATTGTTAGCTACAATATTATACATCTTGTTCAATAGGTATTAGTTGTTATTAGAATTCGAAAGTTTACGGTATTCGTTTGCTTACATTACTTTTATTCGTTTATTTAAACACATAAACATTGGTACAAGGAGGCCCAAATAGACATGCGTCACATAAATCTAATGATTTATGTGAAGGCTGGAATACTGTCCGGGTGCCCAAACCGAAGCGGGTGGTTTTCCTAGGGGGCTACACCCTGAGCCTTTGACCTAAAGGTCCAATCCACAAGGGAGTGGAACAACGTCAGGAGATGCAGTCTCATATTAGCCGGTGACCAATAATTGGTTCATACGCCATTTTGTTCCTTAGGATCCTGGAACCAATATATACCAATGGTTTGGAATTAGGGTTTTCCATCTCCTTAGGTGAGTCCTCCGTATCCACCAATAGAAATTATTACTTATAGTTAGTCCAGTACTTGCTTACTTCAGATGTAATTTGTTGATATAAATTCCTTTGTAAGATAAAATGTGAATTTTTTTCAGAAAAAGACTAAGCAGACTATTCATATCATCTATCGCTTCAAGTTTTGTAGACGGTTTATTGTTTGTAATGAGATTTGTATTTACCCACTTTTTCGGTAATCAAGACTAAACCTAATCAGTTTTTATTGCCTTACAGATGTTTCATTTTTACCTGTGTTCTACCAATTCGACTGTAAGAATCAGTAATAAAACCAAAAATGAATGTTTCCTATCAATTGGATATTCGTTAGTTTAATTAGCCTGTAACAAACTATTATTGTTGTCTAGTTAAATCAAGAGTAAAACTGTTATTGATTGATGCATTGAGATGATTTCTATTAAACATGTACTTTAAAATTGTAAATTATTGAATTCGGATCCATCCCGTAGAAAACTAACTCGCTAAAAATTGCCAACTAGCTTACAATTATGCATTAGTTTTCCTAAGATCTTATGACTGTATTGAACTTTTGATAGACAACTGATACAAAATAACGTGACAATACAGCAGTCTACTATTATTGGTAAATAAATATGCCACTTCATATGTATTATGTGATTTTAGGTCTCGGATCTACGGCCTTTATCCTTCTGTATTTGTCTATTTTTCCATTACCAATCATCATATGTTAATGTAGACTGTTGACGTTTAAAAATCCTGTTAGTGAAATCTAATTCTCACCTGTCATCATACATTCCAATTCAACATTAATCTATTCTGTATTTACACTTCAAAAGTTAAACATTAACATTATCTTTAAATTCCTTCTAATACATTTATCCATTTTCATAAATTTCAAAGTGGATTCACATTTATCACTTGGAAAATAAGTAAACCAAATTTCTCTTCTGTTGGAGAAAATATCTTTTGATATTTATTACTAATAGAGATAGATTCTCTAGCTGGAAGTTTACTGGAATCTTCCCATTGTTGTTTTAGGAATGTAATTGATCAGTCTCTTATTGGCAAATGTGCATCCTGTGCGGATCGCCTCGATATTGACTTAATTCATAAGTATTATAAGATGAATGGTGGCTAGCGGTAGAATTCAGGATGCCCGTCGTGATATCCTCAACGAAGAACATTGATCAAAGCTGGTTAGCGTTTTTTTTTTAGCGAGTTAGATTTCTATAGGATAGGGTTGCTAACTTTATGTCCAACCTTCCTCCTTATCCGGGCTTGGGACCGGCAGTAGTCCCAGAGGGGTTCCAGATGGTGTTGGTCAAGGATAGCTGTTGGGATATTCAGAAAAATATCCCAAAAATTATCCTGTTAAGTCTAATGCTATCCTTAAACGTGAAATGGTGTCATTTTCCTATTCACGGTAGTCCTTATTGTATAAATATGCATTTGTCTGTAAAGTATTATTCTTATTCTTATTCTCATTCTTCTGACCTCATAAACAATTATCGTCTACGGTTCATGTTCTGATATACTGGAGATTGAGGAACAGTATTGGGGTCGTACTGGGATATCTGAAGTTGGTCAGTCGGCTCCTGAATGCCCTGGTACGATCCGAGAGTAGGGAGAGTCCGCTCTCCTTCTCCAAATGCTTTCACACGGCCACGAGTATATAGCCTCTACCAGGAAAGTCCTACTCATTGCCTTCTCGTGGCATTACTGTTGTTTACGAAAATAAGAGGACGAAAGGCGAATGTCCGGCGCTTTAACCGGATTCCAAAACAATGATTGACATGGACTCCAGTATCCTGAAGGAACAAATAGCGTTTAAACCAATCGTTGGTCACCGGCTACCATGAGACTGCATCTCCTTACGTTGCTCCACTCCCTTGTGGATCAGACCTTTAGGTCAAAGGCTCGGAGTGTGGCCGCCTAAGAAGACCATCTGCTTCGGTTTGGGCACCCGGGCAGTATCACAGCCCTCACACATACCGAATGAGATTTGTGTGGCGCATATGTATTTGGTGCCTCCTTGTACCACTATCTATGTGTTAAAATAATAATAATAATAATGAGTTTCAAATTATCTCAGTTTTGTTTAGAATATCAATTATCCTTTGACTAACATTCAATGTTTCCACTTATATCAATATATTTTAGGAAACAGAAAATAGAATATTGAAATTATTATTTGAATCTGAAGGTAATATATTAGATAATGAAGATTTAATTAATACATTAAATGAATCTAAAATAAAATCAAGTGAAATTACAAAACGTTTAAATGAAGCAACATTAACAGAACAAAAAATTACAATAGCACGTTCCAAATATTTACCAATTGCTACACGTGGTTCTGTTATGTATTTTGTAATAACATCTATGGCTGAAATTGATCCAATGTATCAATTTTCATTGAAATATTTCAAAAATGTAAGTGAATTGTTATGTAATTAATTACTTTGAGTGATTTATAATGATATTGTTTAGCACAATTGATTGATCATTGGGTGGTGATCAATGTCATATGTGTCAAGTCCTTATTAGGGCAGATCGAATGCTATCGACCAAGTTGTAATGTGGTCCCTAGTCTAGGTGACTCAACATTGAATGAACTATGTTGAGATAAGATGATGGTTGGAGGTAGTCAATAGGAAACCCTGGACATAGGTTTCATGTTACTTGGCACTCGTCAGTAAGGTGTACTTGTATTCTTGAGGGAACTGGTGCTCCTCGTGACTGACCTTTTGTAGGACTGAGATGTATTCACGATTGATTGGTCACTGAGTGATGATTAATGTCATGTGTGTCAAGTCCTTCTAAGTGCAGATCAAATGCTATCGACCAAGTTGTAATGTGGTCACTAGTCTAGGTGACTCAACATTGAATGAACTATGTTGAGGTAAGATGGTGACAAAGGGTCGAATCCGTCGGAGAGCACCAGTTCCCTCAAGATTACAGGTACATCTTGCCGAAGAGTGCCAAATAACACGAAACCCGGGTCCAGGGTTTCCTGTCAACTAGTGCCCGCAGTGTTGAGTCACCTAGACTAGTGGCTACATTGCAACATGGTCGATAGCATTCGATCTGCACTAAGAAGGAATTGACACACAGGACATTGATCACCACTCAGTGATTAATCAATTGTGAAGTGAAAGTTCTCAATGTACTCAAACGATTCTTTTAAAATCGTTTCAAGAAGTACGTCTGAACAGGGTTCAAAAGGAATTCTTAATAAAAAATAATATTACTATAAATAATCCTATCATGCAAATTAAAATAGCACTCATCAACAAGATGTACCAAATAGCACGAAATTGGGGTCCAAGGTTTCCTGTTGATTACCTTTAACCACCATCTTATCTAGGTATTACTTATCAGTAATATGAGATTGTAAACATTGAGTAGCGATATAGATTCAAACTTTGCAGGGATTGTCAGTTCTTTTAAGATTATGGATATACTTTGACAATGAGTATTGAAGTGTATGAAAGTGAAATCAAGAAGAATTTTCTGTCAGCTGTATACAACCATCTTACACTGATGGAACGAAGTGCACTGGAATAATAAATCTCATGATGCAATCGAATCTGTCATAGAGTAACAAGAACGTCTTTGTTTTTTGAGAAATATGATAGGAAAATATGCTTCGTTTTTAGTCGTAATAAAAGCGGATACATCTGATATTGTATTCTAATGCAAAATCATTATTATTACTGTTAATTAGTTAGTAAACAATGTCATATACAATGAAGCTGTTTTACTTAGATCTCTAAACTCGAAAAACAATAGAGAATGTAATGAATGGTAATAGTTGAATTCATAAATCGATCTAAGCTAGATCACCATTGAAAACCTGAAAGCAGTATACAGCCGTTGCATCTTACAGCATTCTACATCCACGATCCCGCAAGTGGGACTTGGACCTAGAACCTTCAGTCTTCCAGGTTTTCAATGGTGATCTAGATTAGATCGACTCATGAATTCAACTACTAAAATTACTACAATCTCCATAAATCCTCATTGTAGTAATGAATTTATTAAATGAAATCGTTTCTGACATTCATTTTGAAACAATAAACTCGAGAACTTTTTAAATATAACTAATTAGAAAGAAAAAGTATTCTTAATGAAAGTTTAAATAATAAACTTGACAGATGGCGATTTTATACCTTATAGCAAAATGTGAGATTATAACCTAAACTGTCATATTCAACGTTAACACTGAACGAAGGAGGAAAATTCATAATCTACTTTATGATCAACAGCCTGGATTCTGTAAGGATCGATCATGTATCGACCAAATCGCAACACTACAGATCAGTGTGGAACAATCAATTGAATGGAATTCATCACTCTACATCAAATTCATTGACTACGAGAAAGCTTTTGATAGTTTGGACAAGACAACACTATGGAGGCTACTTCGACACTACGACGTAACCGAGAACATGGTCAACATCACACGGAATTCTTAGGATGAATTAAACTGCAAATTCGTTCATGGAGGACAGCTCACACACTCGTTCGAAGTAAAGGTCGGTGTCAGACAAGGTTGCTTACTCTTACCCTTTCTCTTTCTCCTGGTGATCGACTGAATTATAAAGACGTCGACATCGGGGGGAGAGCATGGGTCATAGTGGAAATGCAAGATTCTTCGATACAACACAGCATGCACCGATGGAATCACAAGTGACGGAGAATCCTTGGAAGATGTAGAGTCCTTTACATATCTGGTCATCATCAATGATGAACATGGTAGATCTGATGCAGATGTGAAGGCACGGATAGGCAAAGCAAGTGCATTATATCTACAATTGAAGAACATCTGCAACTCAAAACAACTGTCTCTCAACCAACATCAAAATCAGCATTTTCATTACAAATGTCAACATAGTTCTATTGTATGGGGTGGAAACTTGGACAACTACGAAAACCATCATCCAGAACATACAAGTGTTTATTAACAATTGTCTACACAAAATACTTCGGATCCATTGTCCAGATACTATCAGCAACAACTCACTGTGTGAGAGAACGAATCAAAATCCAGCGGAGGAAGAAATCAGGAAGAATCGCTGTAAGTAGATAAGATACACATTGAAGAAGGCACTCGACTGTATCACAAGTCAAGCTCTCACCTAAAATCCTCAAAGGCAAAGAAGGAAAGGAAGACGAAAGAACACATTACAACGAGAAACAGAGATAGATATGAGTAGAAGGAACAACAATTGGATAGAACTAGAAAGAAAGGTTCAGGAAAAGTGGATGCCGGCGGCCTGCTTGAATATCTGGGCTACCTGTTCCTCCGATCTAGATATTTCATCAAGTTATCTGTTTTGTTGTTTGTTTTAGCACATCACTATGTCTATTGTGCGCATAACCTATTCAGGCGCGTTTATGAAAAGTTTACAACCTTTCGCTATACGGGATACAAAAAGGTACAATCAGCGACATCATGGTTGCTGGCAATATGCATTGAAACAAATGAACAGTAATCAAATGTGGATTACCGAACTTCTAACATCTAACTGGTCATCATTCAAAATTTATCGTCACAATCGATCAAGGTATAAGAAAAGGAAACTTGTTGAAATACTTTATGCTGAGAATTCTATGTTGTACCAAAAATATAATGTTGAATAAAGCTTCTAATAATAAAAAAAATAATAATAATAAGGACTGACTGGACTGGAAAATACTGATCAGTAACCAATCCCTCATAAACAGGTATAAACACGAAACACTTTATTTATAAATGTTTTTTGTTTATTTTTGTTTTTGATTCATATTGCAGAAGCTGGTATTGTGTTTCTAGACTCAAGTGAACGGGCTAGACGGACATAGGACCAATAACGACGCTAGGCTCCTCATACCGGTCAAACGTCATGAATTTAGCATAGTGTTAACATTGTATAAGTCGTATGTTGATTGGTGGATAAATCACGTAACAACAAGTGGGACATAAAATCATAACAGAACTCTTTTTTTTTCTTTTTTTTTGTTTTTTAGTTATTCAATACAACGATACAAAATTGTCCAAATGTCACTACATTAGATGAACGTATACAAATTTTAATAGATTCTATTACTATAGCAACATATAATAATATTTCACGTGGTTTATTTGAACGTGATAAATTAATTTTTTCATTTATGTTATGTATTGAAATATTAAAACAAATGAATCAAATTACAATGAATGAATGGTTGTATTTTTTATTAGGTATACCTAATAATAATAATAATAATATTATAACTAATACTAAACAACAATTAGAACAACCAATTCATACAAAAAATTGGTTAACTATAAAACAATGGAAACGTATTATTGATTTATCACAATATTTTCCAGAACAATTTCATACATTACCTAATGATATATGTAATTATTCAATTATGATTGATTTTAATCCAATAATGAAACAGTTACCAAGGGAACAACAAGAAGAAGAAGAAGAATTAGGTATTTATAAATTAACTCCTAAAAATTATAAAAATACATTACCACTTAGTAACTATAATGAAACATTAACATCATTTCAAAAATTATTACTGATATCAACATTTTATGAAGATCAAATTATTAAAGTAATAAGAGATTTTATATATTATAATCTTGGTAAAGAATTTATTGAAACACCATCATGTCATTTATCAATATTATATAAAGAAATCAATTCAATAACACCATTAATATTTATATTATCAAATGGTTCAGATCCAATGAATCAATTTCAAAAATTTATTAAAGAATATAATAATATAGAACATGTACATATTGTATCATTAGGACAAGGACAAGGTCCAAAAGCGGAGAAATTAATTCATGAAGCATGTAAATTAGGTGATTGGGTATTTTTACAGGTAATGAATGAAATTTTTTTTCAAAAAACAAATGATTTGATTAGAATGATATTGTTTGAATAGAAGGGGTGATTAAATGAAAACATGACATTAGTCACTAACCTTCTAGTTTGACTCTCAAATGCCCCTGGTACGATCAAGAGTAGGGAGAGTCCGTTCTCCCTCTCCAATTGCTCTCACATGGCCACGTGTATATAGCCTCTGTCAGGGAAGTCCTACTCACTGACTTCTCGTGGGATTACTGTTGTTTACGAAATTGAAAGGGTTGGTGGATACAGAGGATCAACCTAGGAGAGTTCAAAAACACTGATTTCAAACCAATGGTGCACATGGGATCCAGAATCCTGAAGTAACAAATGGCGTATGAACCAATCACTGGTCAAAAGCTTCCGTGAGACTGCATCTCCTGACTTTGCTCCACTGTCTTGTGGATCAGACCTTTAGGTCGAGGACTCCCGGTGTGGCTACCTAGGTAAACCACCTGCTTCGATTTGGGCACCCGGTCAGTATTACAGCCCTCACATATATCAAATGAGATCTGTGTGGCACATATGTACTCGGTGCCTCATTGTACCAATATCTATGTGTTAAAATAAATAAATAAAAATGAACCTTCTAGTCTGAGCCATATTGGTAGATGCAGATTATTTGGTCAGGGTCCATCGGTGACTAATTCTTTCTTCCTGTACTATGTCTTTATATACAATCTTTCTTTTATATATTACCATCATTGAATTAACCACTTCTATGAATTTGGTGTTCACCTTGTTGTGCTAATGAGGTATGATAACTTGGACCGATGCATGTATGTGCCTGATCCTACGTTGTAGCTGAATGACTATCTAACTTACTGCATTCTTGAGGACTATGTTGAATTGATTGAGTCTGTCAGTATGCCGAAGAAAGGACGTATTAAACTTTTGTCCGTTATTCAGTGATTCTTGAATCTCGGTTTCATACCCGACCGTTGTTGCTACCTTGATGTGGTGGTCAAGCTTGCTTATCATGATGAACCAATAGAGCTATACTGGCTACAATAATCGTTCCTCAAGGTCCTACCATGCAAGACAGATCGATTAAAGAGCGGTAAGACTACAAGCAACAAACCCAAGATCCGAAGGCGAAGTCGTATTGCTGATTGTACAGAGTTGTGACGGCAGTAAGGTGTTTTCTTTAGATAACCAGCTTAACGGCGATGCTGCCTTCCCACAAAGAAGGGTTGGGTTAGAAAAGTTGACCCTAAAAATGAACACCTCACCTTATCCCATGGATTTCCGTCTTCGGCGGTAAGGTCTCAACAAGTACGGAGATAACACAAAAATTACTCACAGAAAGGTCTTTTGTGACTGACCTCAAGCAGTTATCCCTTTGACATTGCGGTCACGCTCTCAGGTGACTAAGGCCACTTCTAATCCAATTTTCTTCTCAGGTACCTTCGGAAGAACCCTTTCACAGTGTGAGCAACCGGGAAGTGATATCCACCCTCAGACCTCCAACAGCACCCATGATCACTGACTGACTTCAGTTTCATCTTGGCGACCAGTACGTAATGATCTGAGACTATATCAGATTCTCTTTTGGTTCTCATATCATCCATCGAATAGGTTTGAATACAAGCATTATCTACACTGTTATAGATACACTTTTATTCAAACTACCTTCTTTGGTGAGCATTAATCACAAACTTAGTAAACTGTAAGGATCTCAACAGTTTCTTGTAGGCAAGCATAGTTAAATCATCCAGGTAATGAGACGTAACATTACTGAAAACTCTGATATTATAAAGCTGTAAAAAGGTTTTTTGGGAACGGTACATAGGATACTCTAAAATAAATGAATGTTTAAGGTGAATGGAGTCTGGTTCTCACTGACTATCCTGTCTGGGATGATTTGTGCCTATTGTTATTTGCTCGTGCTTCTGGCTGCTTGCGGATTATATTTTCCCGTTTGGAACATGGACTTCTTTCTCTCTAGTTAGCGTGGCTGGGACGCATCAGAATAGTTAGCCTATTGATCTTTGGTCACTGAGTTTTTGTTCCGTTCTCAGATTAAATGAACTTGTAATCGCTTCAAATATAGCAATTGTTAACCAATATTTCTTATGTATCGTATAAAAATTAATGTTCCTGTTTCATTAATAAAGCAGTTTTAGTTCCATAAGATGTTAATAATGAAATCATTTATAGAAGAATAAATATTTTCGTTTGAATTCAACCCTACCATGTTACGACCTGAAACTTTTGATTCAACTAAAAGGTATGTACTTTTCCCAATCAATGATAAGAGTGAAAAGATTGAGAGATGATTAGAAGGCTTCAACTTGGAAAATCAATTGATGATATACACAAATCATGAGTAATTATATATTTGTCCGATGTGAATTAAATAACGATATATCCATACACCATTTAGTGCTTCCAGCTTTTTCATGATGGTCTAGCTTTAATCGACTCATGAATTCAACTATTAAATTACTAAAACCTCGGCAACCCAACCCCCTTTCTTATATATATAGAACATCAACTTTTTCAAGTGTATAACTAATTTCCCCTAACTACCCACCTAATTTATGATTTCTCATCGACTGTTCAACCTTGAAATGACATACGAGCTGTTTGGTTTTTTGTACTGCATGTAGTATGCCTAGAATTATTCAGCCTATCATACCTAGTTCCTTTAGTTAATTCACAGTATTCATATATAAATATATATGATAGTAAACTCACAAAATGATAACTCATTCTAAGGTAAAATGATAAGTTACAAAAATGAACTACATGTTCTTCGTTTAGAATCCCCGTTCATGAAGCTATTACGAAAGAGGATATCACTAACACGGTACATTGTCTTAAGGAAGATACTTAAATTATCTGGACATTCAAGGATAAAAGAGTTCGTAATAAAGGAATTAATCAATGAAATATCTAAATTACACAGTGATTTAATCTTTGGATTCAGTCAGCTATTTAATTATACGCAGATTAATTATTCAACGTAAATGTCCGTCGAAGCAAACGGAAAAAAACTAATGATCATTGTTTAGAAATATCAAGTGGAACCTATCCAAGCAGTTTACACCGATCAGTACGACTCATATCAACAAGTAATCATTATTTCATGGGTTAATGTCATATCGTAGTTTAACAGGAACTAGTTTTTTTTTCTCTAGCCTATTCTCATACCAGTGAATGTTGCTCGTTGATGTAGATGGTAGTTAAGTATATGTGACATATGATCCAAATCACTTCAGTTAATGAATTGTTAGTAAGTATAAATTACTTATATCTATTGTTCTTCAGAAACAAAATAGTAAAAACTATGAGATGATGGAGAAGATTTGTAGCTCAGATGAATGATTTCGATGAAGTTTTGTTCTCTGAGCTGAATGGTTTGGTCAACTTAGCGAGTAAAACTCCATCGAAAGTAAAAACGATCTTCAATTTAACGTTGCCTTTCTTTGTTTGTTTTGTTTTATTCTGAAAGAATTGTCATTTAGCTGCTTCATGGATGATTCGATTAGAAGAAATAGTGAAACAACTTGCTGAAAATCCTAAATCAACACATACAGATTTTCGTTTATATTTAAGTTCAATGCCATCAAAATCATTTCCAATATCTGTATTACAAAATTCAGTAAAAGTAACTAATGAACCACCAAAAGGATTAAAAGCTAATCTTATTCGAGCATTGAATGATATATCAATGGAATCATTTAATACACATGGTATGTTTACAATGTTGGGAATGTGTTCCATTTACATATGACATAACTTTCTGCATAAGTCGATGTATATATTTTGAGAAATGATGGTGATGATGATGATGACCATATTTCACCTTTATATTTTTATTATGATTGATAAGCTAAATATGATCATGAATTGATGGAATACCTTCAACCATTAAACAGAATTGTATTAGCAGTAGTAATAATGATAGTAATACAAATAGTTGTGTAGTTTATGCTACCTATGTCTGTCGATGTAGGTAATATGCAACACCAATCGAAATTAGAAAACCTGGCAGAAGTGGGCCTTGGTACAGCCGAGAGTGGGGAGAGTCCGCTCTCCCTCTCCAATTGCTTTCACATGGCCACGCGTTTTCAGCCTCTTCCAGGGAAGTCCTACTCACTGTCTTTTTTCACCGTCGAGGTGTTGTTTACGAAAATGAGAGGACGAAAAGAGAACGTCCGGCACTTTAACTGGGTTGGTGAATACGGACAGTCCACCTAGGGGAGTTGGAAAATCCTCATTCCAAACCAATGGTGCACATGGGTTCCAGTATCCTGAAGGAACAAATGGTGTATGAACCAATCGTTGGTCACCGGCTTCCATGAGACTGTATCTCCTGACGTTGCTCCACTGCCTTGTGGATCAGACCTTTAGATCGAAGGCTCCGGGTGTGGCCGCCTAACAAAATCACCTGTTTCGATTTGGGCACCCGGGCAGTATCACAGCCTTAACGCATATCAAATGAGACTTATGTGGTGCATATATATTTGGTACCTCCTTGTACCAATATCTATGTGTTAAAATAAAGAAAGAAAGAAGATCAAGTTGAAAAGAACAGAAGGGAAAATAGAAAAAAAATTGTGAACTAGAAGAATCATAGACAATGTGAAGGATAATTGATGAAAACTTGCAGATGAAGTATTCAGTGCATGGTTCTCATATCTTACCTGTAGTTTTGTTTTAATATACATTAATTGTCCCTATTCGTGTTCTCGTTCATTACAGTAATATTAATAGTAATTAGGAGTCGTAGTATAGTGTATGCTACTTATGTTGACAGATATAAGTAGTAGGTAGCACCAATCGAAAGTGAAATGCATGTCATTAGAAGATTGAAAAGATTCAGTTGAGCAGAACAGAAAGAGAAACAGAAAGTTATTGTAATAACAGAATATTTGAAAGAATCATGAAATACGTAAAGGACAAATGATTGAAGATGTGTAAATTATGTATTTTGGTGTACGGTTTTCATACTTTATGAAAACACTCTATAATTGTAAATTCATTTTGTATTATTTAATTGAATCTTCCCATTGATATTTAGCATTGCAGTGGATCAATCTCTTATCGAAATACGTGTATACTGTATGGATTGCCTTGACATCACCTTAATTCACAAGCATTATAAACCAAGATGAATAGTGGTTAGCAGTGGAATCCAGGTTGACGCGCGTTTTTTCCTATTCGAGATTCGTCAGCCGGATGCGCCCGCATCTCAGAGTTGGTGTCTACTCCGGGATTCGATCTCAGTGCCCCTGTGGATGCAAGCACACCCAGCTGACTAGTCCCGAATAGGACGAAATACGCATCAAACTGAATTCCACTGCTAGCCACTATCCGTTTTTGCTTATAGCTCTGTAACTGTGTATCAAATAATAAACTGCTTCTCTCCACCTGAGTTCTTGTTCACTACATTAGTAGCACCAATAGTAGTAGTCACTTTCTAATACCAACTTCAGTTTTTATATAATGTTACGTCATTTATTGATTCTATATTATACAATAATTTTGGTGGAGTTTTGTTCTCTGAGCTGGATGGTTTGGTCGGAGAACAAAACTCCACCGAAATCATCCACCTGAGCTACAAATCTTCTCCACCATCTCATTATACAATAATGAATAGATTGTTAACATTAGTGCTATAACTTCCGCCCTGTGTCCTATTAATATATAACGTAATGATACTGCCAATTAGAGAAAATTGAATTATCGACCGGACGAATGACGTATAAAACACGTACGAGCAGCCTGGAGTCCTTATCGGTCCTGCTGACTGCCTAGCCCAACCTGTTAAGTCCAGAACGCAAGTCACAGCCTCTACGATACGAATCATTTATTTCAAACATACTGGGTTTATATACCAACCAGACAGACCACATCATACCATAAAATAAAAAATAACATTTGTACAAGATTGGCTGTGAATGTGGGAGGTAGTGATTAACAGACAGGTCATAACTCAAGAATGGTAAATCGTAAAATTATAGTTCATAGATCAAACTGAAGCTCATAATAAGAGGTATATGAATATGTATAATTTAGTTATTTAACAATTATAGAATATTTTAATCAGTGAAATTTCTAAAATCTCCACAAAACCCATTCTGATAAGAATCATCTGCTCACTAGTGATTGACTTCAAGAGATACTCCTGGAGTTCTTGTGAGAAGCCGTTACCAGTGGACTTCAACCAGGTCTGTTGTGCAAAATCACCTCACTGAAAACAATGGTGTACGATAGTGCAACTTCGTGGATTGGTTGAAGTTAGATATTAACACCGCCGAATGCCGGCTTAGTGGTCTAGTCGGTTAAGCGCCTGTCACGAAACTGATAGGTCCTGGGTTCGAATCTCGTGGGGTACGAGATCGTGGGTGCGCACTGCTCAGGAGTCCCACACTAGGACGAAACGGCCATCCAGTGCTCCCAGGTTTCTCATCAAGGTCTAGCTACAATTGACTCGTGATTCTTATCGGGATATAACAGTTAGTAAATGTTAGATAATAATGAAATAATCTAACATACTTACTTATCATGTTTTGTTTTTTTGTTTTCTTCTCTAAATATTATTGATACAGTGTTAAGAAATGATTGGCGTAAATTAGTATTTGGCATTTGTTTCTTTCATTCAATTATATTGGAAAGAAAAAAATTTGGACCACTTGGATGGAATATTAATTATGATTTTAATGATTCGGATCGTGAATGTGCATTATTAAATTTAGAAATGTTCTGTCATGAATCTTATATACCATGGGATGCTTTAACGTATATTACAGCTGAAGTTAGTAAAAGTTGTTGTTTCACCTCTCCCCCCCCACACACTTTTTTTACATATAATATACTTATCTAAAGGACATAGAATGATATGACTTAATTACTTTATCTTTGTTACTAAGTATTTTCAATTTCCGGTTGTTGCCATGCAGGAGTGGAATTAATCAATATCTTTTTTTTCTCGGTATATGTACATTCTGATCGAATTAGTTAGTTTAGTTTAAGTTTAGTTTTAAGTTGAATTGTGACTAGCACCGTAACCCAAAAATGGGCGTTTCATCTTGTTTGAAACTTATCAAATGAATATACCTATAACCGAATATTGCTGTTCACAATAATATTTGAATACAGTACTATTCTCTTTAAATACTAACGAGATATTCATTGAAATATTGAGGTAACTTAAACATTAACATTGATAAGTCTTGCGGATTGAATGCTATTTTCGTCTCCTAAGCTATTCTGTAACCCCCAAGCTAGAACTATACAGCGACCTGAACATGAAAGAGAAGACTCAAGCTATGCGAGAAGTAGTTAACTCCAAAGTTCATTTTAATACAGAAAATACAGGATTTTTATAATATTTTAAATGTCCTTGGGTTGCTAGAAGATTCTGGAAATGCTACTAAACATAGTAACAGTGTAGCAACCAGCCAATCAGAACCTCTCACAATTGATCTGCACTAATAAGGACTAGACAAGCATGACATCGATCACCACCCAGTGATCAATCAATTGTGATTACATCTCAATCCTACAGGAAGTTAGTCACAGTTCGGATAGCTCAGTGGTAACGTCTCTGGCTGTGAAGCTGGGTGACACGAGATCGAATCCGCCAGGGAGCACCAGTTCCCTCAAGATTACAGGCACGCCTTGTTGACGAGTGCCAAGTAGCACAAAGCCCGGGTCTGGGGTTTCCTGCTGACTACCTCCAACTACCATCTAAAATCAGGACCTCTACATGTGACGTTTCACCCCCCTAATATTTTCGACAAAAACTTCAAGTGAACACTAATTGGACGAAACGCTTTTTAGTGTTCCCTGATGCTTGATTATCTTTTGCAAGCAATTTTCTGGATCACCTCAACAACATGTCCAGTAAGTGTAAACCAATAGAAATCTTAATAGAAATAGATCTTTGACAAAAGTATTATTTTCACATTTCTTATTCTAGATTACATATGGTGGACGTGTCACTGATTTCTGGGATCAAAGATGTTTACGTACAATACTTCAACGTTTCTTTCATCCATCTACATTAAAATCAGATTATGTTTATTCATCATCTGGTATTTATTATCCACCAACTAAAGAAACTTTAATAGAATATATGGAATATGTATCTAGTCTTCCATTTAGTTCAGGACCTGAATTATTTGGTATGAATGAAAATGCTAATTTAGTATATCAGGTAATAAGTGTTCTCATACAAAAGTATACATGTAGTTTAATATTAATATATTGCTTTATAATAATCACTAGTGATTAACAAGTAGTGACAGTACAGTCCTACAAGCGGTTACTGACGATGATACTGTATGATACAGATATTGAAATCCTACACAAATCATAAGTCCCATCAGAATTACAGATGTATGATTTATTAATGATTATCAATTAGCACGAATCTTAGATCAAGTAGGATTTACTGTGAATCTACTTTACCCCCGAACTAATAAACGAAATGTTAAACTGCGATTTCATCATTTGAACATTGTTATTACTAAAGAGGATTTCGAATTATGACTTTATTTAGATGAAAATACTTCAAAAAGGTTTTGACATTTATAAAGAATGAATAACAGATGAAAGCTTGTACATTAATAAACAAACTAGAACACTAAAAGCTACTTTATGACAACTGTTGATTAATTTAATAATTGAATTCATGAGTCGATTAAAGCTAGAGCACTGTGGAAAGCCTAGAAACATTGGATGACCGCTTCGCTCCAGTATGGGATTACTCAACAGTGCACATTCACGACTCTGCTCTCGGAATTCGAACTCAAGACTTTCGATCTCTCACAAAAACTCTTAACCTCTAGATCATAGAGCCATCATCCAAAGGTGTTAATTAACAAATAAATATCACAATTAATTATGTGAATGATTTGATTCTACATATACATTAATTAATCTATGCTACTATTGGATGAATGATTAATTTGTATTTGATCGTAGCCAGAGACATAATTTTCTCACTGTTCTATAGTTACGCATATACATACTATCATTTCTTACATGATGAATGACTTCTACATCACAATATTGGCGTTCATGAACTTATATCCATTCTTAAACCTTTCCTTTAATTATGAGTTAAGTACTACTACTACCTTTTTTTATTTTTCAACCTTTCTTTGAATCAAATTTCTCATTTTCAGATTCTAATACTGTTTCTAATCATTTCTCTCGTCTATTTCTCATCTTATCAAGTTCGTCTCATGTTGTAGTAATGTGAATTATCGAAACTGAAACTCATACATATTAATGCATGATTCAACCTTGTCGATAACTTTTCTTTACGGGTCATGTTACACCATACTACTTAATAATATTCAGTAGTTATGTGTATACCACTAATATTATTATTCAATATTATGATCGGTTATATAAATGCTAACCATTTGTACATTTATTTCAATGTTTCAGTTTGTTTTACTATATGTAATAGCATTTCTTCGCCCCCCCCTTTTAGGTTATTTCATCGATGTTATGTGTGACACCCCTTGATATTATTTTCATTTAACAACTGAATTTCCAGAGATGTTTTGATCTATGTTGATATTCGTTACATTTCTTGCTTGATACAATAATGTACTGTCTTCTGATTTGTAGTCAGTTTCGTGAATTTATCAATATTTTGTCCCGTTTTAATAATCCACTTTCATTTTGACTAACCTTATGACAGTCTAACGGTTACCTTAATATCTCATGATTTGAGGCTTGAAAATTATCAGTATTTACGTTATGCTTCATATTCATAACATATTTTCAGATAAATCTCGTCATTCAATAGTGAACTTCATACATAACTCGGGTTTTGGATTAGAGAGCTTAAAGATGTTCTGCAGTGATGGTACATAATTTCTTGAAGTCACTAACTTCTAGTCTGAACCATGTTGGTGGATTCAGACTACTTGGTTGGAGTCCGCGTGACTACCGTACACAATGGCTGGAGACTGTGGGTGATATGGCTCAGAATCGATCACAATGGCTTAGATGTATACACTCTTTGTCTTCTTTTAAACTATGAAATTGCATTATATCTTTGTTTCTACCAACTAATTCCTTCTTCCTGTGCTATATTTAATTAATTAAAAACATCAACATTGGTACAAGGAGGCACCGAATAGATATGAGCCACACAAATCATTCGATTTGTGTAAAGGCTGGGATACTTTTCGGCTGCTCAAACCGAAACAGGAGGTTTTCTTAGGGGGCCACACCCATAGCCTCCAACCTAAAGGTCTGATCAACAAGGCAGTGGAGCAATGTAAGGGGGTGCAGTCTTATGGTAGTCGGTGACCAACAATAGGTTCATAGGCTATTTGTTCCATCAGGATAATGGATCCCATGTACACCAATGGCTTGGAATCATGGTTTTCCAACTCCCCTAGGTAGACTCTCGATGTCCACTAGAGGGTTAAAGTTCCGGACATTTGCTTTTCGTCCTCTCAATTTCTTAAACAACAGTAATGCCACGAGAAGTCAGTGAGTAGGACTTCCGTGGCAGAGACTTTAAACCCGATCTTTCTTTTATATATTACTACCATTGAAGTAACTGCTTCTATGAATTTGGTGTTCATCTTGTTGTGCTAATGAGGTATAACAACTTGGATCGATGCATATATGTGCCTGATCCTACGTTGTAGCTGACTGACTGAGTCAATGTTCACTCTACATTGTCAACATAAACAATTATCATTTTAACATTATAGTTTATAATTCTGTTTCTTTTTGTTTTCTATTTTCAATAAATTATTAATAAAAGCTTCAAGAAACAAATAATCTATTATCTGTTATTCTTAATGTTCAACCACGTACAAATACAATGAGTACAGGGAAAACAAATGATGATATGGTTTATGAACAAGCTGATTCAATATTGAAAAAATTACCAGAAAAAATTAATATTGAAGATGCACGTCCAGATTTATTTGATACGGATAGTAAAGGTCGGATAGATTCACTGACTACTGTACTTACTCAAGAAATTGATCGATTTAACAAACTATTAAAAATTATCAAAGTACGTATATACATATATATATATATATAAGTTGAATAATTATAATTGATATGATAAGCAAAGATGGATAGTGTCTAGCGGTGAAATCCAGTTCGATGCGTGTTTCATCCTATTTAGGACTCGTCAGCCAGATGTACCTGCATCTCCGGGTTGATGTTCACTCTGGGACTCGAACCCAATACCGTTCGCTTCAAATGCTTTAGGACTCAGTAGCTAAGTGGATAACGCGAACGGTATTGAGTTCGAGACCCTCCACGAGTGAATACCAACTCTAAGATACAGGTACATCCAGCTGACCAGTTCCAAATAAGATGAGACCTGTGTCCTGGATTTCATTGCTAGCTATTATCTATCTTTATTTATAAAGCTTGTGACTTCGGGCAATATCGAGGCAGTCCTCACAGGATGCACAAATACCAACAAGAGAATGACCAATTGCAGTCCTGAATAACAATGGGAAGATATAAGTAAACAACACCAAGTGAATATAACTTCACGCCATTGCACAACCAAGTGGGTATCAAGACCAAGTAGCTAAGTGGATAAAGTGATGGCGTTCGAAGCGAACGGTACTGGGCTGGAGTGCCAGAGTAAACATCAACTCTGAGATGCAGATACATCCAGCTGACGAGTCCCAAAGAGGATGAAACACGCGTCGAACTGGATTCCACTGCTAGTCACTATTCATCTTTGCTTAGAGCTAACAATACAGTCTAAAGTTACAAATTTGACTATATATTTTGACTTTAATTCAATTAATGAAGCTTTCTTGTAATATATTGAGTTACACTGTACTTACTTCCTTAGCTTTCTTATAATATAAGTAACTTTGAATAACAGATAGGTAGTTCATTTATGACATATTCTGTTCATCAATTAAGGATCAACTTGTTAAACTAATATTTCCTTCATACATTTAAGCTTTGCGGAGAAGAGGATATATTTATATAAAATTGAATTGACCAGCTTCATGATCCCAACTGTCATTACCTCCACATTAAAAGTTTGTTTTAAACAACAAATCATAAAAATCAACTAATCAAATCAACAAGATATGTTTAATTCCACAGAAATATCATTATGGAACTAGATGAATTACAATAAAAGTATTACAGTTAAAACATTCAACTTTCAACTAATGATCTACATTGTTCAAAATTCACTCCAACTAGTTCTATGTGAACAGTGGCACATGAACAAACAAACATATAAAGTATGACTCAAGTTCTGAGTACATGATGGCGTACTTAGTTACCAAGTCGTTGACTATTAGTTAGGTACTATTCTGTTACGATCTATAAATATAGTTGTGGCCATTGTTTCATATTTCATTCATTGATAATAATTTTTTATTGTAGATTAATATCATGAATGGATCAATGTTAGATCACCATTGAAAACCTGAAAGACTAAAAGTACTTGATTCGAGTCCCGCATGCGGTATTGTGGATTCGCACTGCTAAGGAGTTCCATATTAGAATGAAACGACTATCCAATGCTTCTAGGTTTTCAATGGTAATCCAACATTGACTCATTCATAATGTTTATCTAAACTCACCAATCTCCACAATCCTATACTGATAGTAGTGTTTTTTATTCTTTAGAATTCTTTGAAACAACTTCAAAAAGCAATTAAAGGTTTTATTGTTATGTCAGAAGATTTGGAAGGTGTATACACGGCATTTTTACAAAATTCTGTACCAGAAATTTGGTCATCTAAATCATATCCAAGTTTAAAACCGTTAGGTAGTTGGATAAAAGATTTAGTACTACGTTGTGATTTTATTAACACATGGATGATTAGAGGAAAACCTCTTTCATTTTGGATATCTGGATTCTTTTTTCCTCAAGGTAAATATATTTTTTTTGTTCTTTCAGTGGAGTTGTAACTGAATGTATCCATGTATGTGTGTGTGAAACTAAAATATAGAATATATATATGGATTTCAATAGTTGAAGCTTGACCACCACAGAAAACCTGGGTCACTTGTGAGATAGTAACTCACTGATGACAATGGTGGATGCGTCGCTCATTTTCGCGGATTAGTTGAAGTTAGACACAAACATTATTGGATATCGGCTGGCTCAGTGGTCTAGACGTTAAGCATCCACGCGTGAGACTGATGCGTCCTGGGTTCGAGTCCCGCGGGGCGCGGTCGTGGATGTGCATTGCTAAGGAGTTCCACAATAGGAAGAACAGCTGTCCAGTGCTTTCAGGTCTAACTTCAATTGACTCATGATCTCAACTATTGAAATTACCACAATCTCCACAAAACCCCTTCTGATATATATGAATCATAAAAATGTATGCTAAATTGATTTATATTGATCAGAAATGTTAGGTTAGTGCAATTATTCAAAAACACTTCCGTGAATTTATGTTTCAATCTTTTGTCTGAAAAATCTAGCTCAAACTGTTGTAGTCAAGAGATTAAACTCCTCAATTCAGGGTTCACATGATTACTTGTAGTCAATATTTGTTGATTCTATGTAATGTGACTTGAAATCTTTTATAACTGCGTAGATATGATCAATAATTTTGGGCTTCATTTCAATTTTGCATTTTAATCTAATCTTAAAACTATCAGTTCCATGTTTAATTATTTCTATCATCGTCATCCATATTGCAGTTATTTTCTCTTGTCCTTATCTTTAGCTTTTCATTTGGTTAATTTCTTCATTTCTTATGCTAGTAATCACTATGGAAACCAAATTGATCACTTTTAAAATCTATGAAATTGTCGTTACATATTGTGAATATTTTGACTGAATATTGCGTTGATTAGTCAGAACCGACTACCAAAATTTACCATATTATGGGCAATTCAATATAACCTCAGCAATCTTACTTACTTATGCCTGTTAACCCTTGTGGAGGAGCATAGGCCGCTCATCAGCACTCTCCATCCAACCCTGTCCTAGGCAATCCTTTCCAGTTGTTATTCATCCTTTTCATATCTGCTTCTATTTCCCGATGTAATGTGTTCTTTAAATTTCCTCTTTTCTGCTTAGCTTCAGGATTCCAAGATAGCGCTTGTCTCATGATGTAGTTTGATGATTTCCGTAATATATGTCCTATCCATTGTCATCGTCTTTTGCTAATTTTCTCTTCAGTTGGAAGCTGGTTTATAACCTCAACAATCACTGGCATAATATTAATCCATTTCAACAATCTCGTTTTGTTTGAATGTCATGTGAAAAAAAAGACTTACTGAAATGTTGTATGATAGAATTGATAATAAAAACGGCAAGTATATAACTCATAAGTAGTAGTATTTCATATAGGATTAATCTGTCCAAATTCTCAACATTTGTAAAGGTACTTTGATAGTGTAGTAGATAGTAGGGCGAACCCATCAATATCCATCATATGAAAGTATTTATTATCAGAAAGGGGGGTTTTGTGGAGATTTTAGTTATTTATTAGTTGAATTCATAAGTCACTTAAAGCTAGACCACCATAGAAAACCTGGAAGTACTGAATGGCCGTCTCATCCTAGTATGGGACTCCTCAACAGTGAACATCCACGATCCTGCTACCGGGATTCAAACCCAGAACCTTGATTTGTGCTTCTGGTTGCTTGTGGAATACACTTTCCCTCTCCTGAACCTCGACTTCTCTCTCTATTTAATGGGGATGGAATGTATCAGAATAGTTAACTTATTTGGTCATTGTATCACACAGTCTTCGTTCCGTTTGTAAATAAGTTGAACTCTTGATCACCACAAACATAGCAATTTACCTTTAAATTACAATTTCAATATTGAATACAACAGAATAATTACTGAAAATGAAAATCATGAAAGAAATAAACATTGACAAGTAGTATCTCTTAGTGCATTTATTATTCAGTACACATATACAAGATTCCACTCATTGTACTGCACAATTTATCATTGTTGGAGCTGTTTGACAAAGTGAATTAGTTTTACCGTAGTTTCTTGATTCAATGATTTCACAACACAGTGATTACGTAAGAACTTTTATCATTATCTCGATAGATTGTTGATAACATCTAAAACCAACAAAAGTGTATCAGTAATCTTCTCTTCCATTTCGAGTATAAGTAATATTTTTATTTCAGTGGTTAAGATCATGAGTCAGTTGAAGCTAGACTATTATGGAAAACCTGGAAGCACTAGACGGCCGTTTCGTCCTAGTATTGAACTCCTCGGCACTGCGCATCGACAATCCCACCTCGCGAGATTCGAATCCAGGACCTATCAGTCCCGCGCGAGCACTTAAGCACTAGACCACTGACCCAGTCGGCATCCAACAGTGTTAATTTCTTACTTCAACTAATCCACAAAATTGAGGGACACACGCACCATTGTCTTCAGTGAGTTACTATCTCACAACAGACCTGGTTGAACTCCACTGGTCACTGTTTCTCACTAGAACTTCAGGATATATCTCTTAAAACCAATCATTAGTGAGAAAATGTTGATTTATATCATATGGGTTTTGTGGATATTTTTATTTCAATGGTTAAGATCATGAGTCAGTTGAAGCTAGACCACCATGGAAAACCTGAAAGCACTGGACGGCCGTTTCGTCCTACTGTGGGACTCCTCATTAGTGCGCATTCACGATCCCGCCTCGTGAGATTCGAATCCAGGACCTATCAGTGTAGGCGCACTGCTGAGGAGTCCCATACGAAGTAAGATGGAACGACTGTTCAGTGCTTCCAGGATTTAAATAATGGTCTAGCTTCAACTGATTCATGACCTTAACCATTGAAATTACTATAATATCCACAAAACCCATCTGGCATTAATATTTTTATCTTGAACATGAAGAGAATAATAATTGTTCCCTTCCCCCCCCTCAAGGTATACATAAGACTAACTGAAAAATCAGATCATTTACATAATCCTGTCTTAGTAACATGCATAATACATGATGGTATAAACAAATAAATCGGCGAGACAATAATTTATGAGTGAACCAATCAGATTTAAAGATAAAAGGTCTCGAATTTCAGCGCAAAATTCATACACTCATTCGACTAAATATTATTTCGACATTATAGCTGATATTCATTTCGTAATGAAAATCCTAAATCTAATTCTTAATCTTAACCATGAATTGTAAATCATAATTCTAATTCCCTATACTAGTTTGTAACCCGAGGTGAACATTTTCAAGATCATTTTGGTATTGCTCAAAGGTTATTCATAAATTATTATTCAAACTAATCTTCAATATTCCTATTGTTCAGTACCATTGAAAAGAATGAGAACACAAGTGGAGAAGATCGAATGTATTTTAGTGTAAAATTACAGAATCTCTTAGTAAACTGTGAAAATCATACAGTAAATACTACATTTGCAAAATATCCCTTAATTGTTTCAGACTTGTTTGATCCTTTGTCTCTACACCAATCACTCTCGGTTCTCGTTCTCTTCTTTTCGATCTTCTTAACCTTTTGCCTCCAGGTATATTTCACATATGATTGATGGATGATACATACTACTTATATCTGTCGACATCAGTAGCATACACCATAACATGTTGTTTTTTTTCACAACTTCTTGAGTTTATTTTAATCGATTCATATTTGAACTGACATAATGATGATATTAGTAAATGTAAAATTTCATTCTAGCAATATTTGTTATCATTAATTCACAAATTACAAGTTCAATCCATCAACTTTGTTTAAATCGACCAAAGTAGTATATATCTACTCCTATAAAATTTGGCTATAATTTAAAGTCCAGTTCACAAACATATATCTTTTTAATAGTTAAGATAATGAGCACTGGATGGTCATTTCGTCCTATAATAGGACTCCTCATCAATGTGCATCCACTACTCATGATTTCAACTATTAAAATTACTATAATAACCACAAAAACTCCCTCTGATATTAATCAACATAAGCTCACTAGTGACTGGCTTCAAGAGATATTTCCTAAAGCTCTAGTGAGAAGTAATAACCAGTGGAATTCATTCGGATCTGTTATGAGATAGCAACTCACTGAAGACAATGATGGATGTGTCGCTCAATTTTGTGGACTAGTTGAAGTTAGACATTAACATTATTGGATGCTGGCTCAATGAGACTGATGAGTCCTGGGTTCGAATCTCTCAAGGCGAGGTCATAGATGTACACTGTTGAGAAGTCCCACAATAAAACAAAATGGCCGTCCAGTGCTTCTAGGTCTAGCTTTAATTGACTCATGATCTCAACTATTGAAATTATTACAATCTCAAAAAAAACCTGATAATAATCATCCGTTCACTGGTGACTGACTTCAAGAGATATTTCCTGTGGTTCTAGTGAGAAGCCGTGAACAATGGAGTTCAATCAGGTCTGTTGTGAGATATCAACTCACTGAAGATAATGGTGTACGGTGGTACAACTTCATGGATTGGTTGAAGTTAGACATTAACACTATTGGATACCGGCTGTCTCAGTGGTCTAGTGGTTAGTCATTCGTGCATGAGACTGATGGGTCCTGTGTTCGAATCTCTCAAGGCGGGTCGCAGATATACACTGCTGAGGAATAAATGTCAAATGTAACATACATATTATTTCATTTTCATTTATTCTAGGTTTTCTAACTGGAATTTTACAAAATTATGCACGAAAATATAATTATCCAATTGATCATTTAACATTTCATTTCAATGTTTTACCATATTATCGTAATCAAGAAGAAATTTCTATAGCTATATCAAAACTTCGTTTAGGTGAAATATTAGAAGTTGATAAAATGATAAATAAACCAAAAGATGGTGTACTTGTACATGGATTATTTATGGATGGTTTCAGGTAAATATTTATAATATGATTTTCTTAACTGTTTAAATCTTCCTACTATTGATGTTTAAGACTAGAATTGATCAGGTCTTTGCTTAGAATGTTTATGACTTAAGACAATATCGAAGAGGTGAGACTATAGTTTATGAATGATGTTTGAATGAATCTTAAATGAACTTGAGAAATCTTAGCCAATCAGCGAACAGTCAGTACAAAGTACAAATATGTTATACAAAACCAAAGAAATAAAGTGGATACATTTCTTAAACGTGGTTTAAAAACTTGTCAAGGTTAGAAAGAGGTTCAGAGATTCTAAAATCGTAATGCATGCAGTAGAGGAAATCATCCATATGGCTACAGAATAGTCGACCTCTGGAGCCATAATAAAGTCTCACATACTCTTTCAGCCTTGACCACATAACTTCAATATTGTTTGTGTGCACTCCGGTTGTTGCGTGGATAACAACACGATGCACATAACCAAGTCTATGTAGGAGTCTGTACGCTCTCCAATCATCCGTATATATTGTACTACCTGGTTGCAGCCAGTGTTACTGGTGCTTTTATTATCCAGTTCGCAATAATTGTCATAATTTGCCTTAGTTAGGAAGTATATATAGGGTTTTCATCACGAACTGACATCAACTATAATGCTATAAATTTATTTAGCCAAATGGATGAAAGGCTTTCGCGTTAAAATCCGAGATCTATTATCTTATACCTGATTGATTCGTCCACAAATTATAGTCTCGCCGCTTTATTTGTTATTTGTACAAAATTCCCTATGAACCGATCGTACGTTAGCAATAAGTACTGAAGTTGGCGCCATGACCTTGAAACCTCTCAAACGCTTCTGATTGGCTCGTCCATAGATGAGAGTCTCGCCATCGAGGCAATACACACAGGATATACATATACCAATAAGATACTGATCAATCGCATTCCTTAACATCAGGTGGAAGATAAAAACATCACAAAATGAATTTAAACTTCACCCCGTTGCACAAGTAAGTGGCTATCAAAACTCAATAACTGAATGGGTAACGTGATAGTGTTTAAAGCGAATGGTACTGGGTTTGAGTCCCGGAATGGACATCAACTCTGCAATGCAGATACATCCATCTTACAAGTCCCAAGTTAGATGGAATGCGCGTCCTGGATCCCACTGCTAGCCATCATCCGTCCTTCTAATGATTTCTTCTTAATTGTTGAAGAAACTATGAATATTAATACGAAACGATAATCTCATTTAATACAAAAGACAAAAGTTGAATTTGGCATATGTCAAAATGGAATGTGTAATAAAATCGTCAGAGATAACTAGCCTAGTTGATTATTTTACTAGCCCTAATCATTAAGCTTGATTTATTTATGTTGTTTTTTAGTATCCATGTTAGTATTGACTTTCGCTTAGTTATCCACAGTAGACTGATATCATGGATTTGTCTAATGATATTCAATTAGTTGCAATTCACTGAATGATCACTAGATCAACGTCCATTTTGATATTTTTTTAATAATACAAAACGATAGCCATCTAAACGTATTCAGCCAGTGAGTCAGCTACAACGTAGGACCAGGCACATATATGCATTGGTCCAAGTTGCCATACCTCGTTAACACAACAAGATGGACACCGAATTCATTAAAATAGTTAATTCAGAGGTGGTAATACATAAAAGAAAGATTGTATATAAGGACATAGTATAGGAAGAAAGAATTAGGTCGTAGAAAGAAAGACATGAAGCGATTTTAACCTCTTTGTTTAAGAGAAGACAGAGAGTGTATACACCGACGCCATTGTGATCGATTCTGAACCATGTCACCAAGAGTCTCCAACCATTGGTTACGACAGTCACGCGGACCCCAGTCAAGTAGTCTGCATCTATCAATATGGCTCAGACCAGAAGTTAGTGTCTTCAAGCACTGGTGCCACGTTTTGGTTTGACCGCCCATAATTTTCTCCCAACCATCCCGAACACCGGTTAGCATTGCACGTCGTGGTAATCGGTGTTCGGGCATACGTAACACGTGGCCCAACCATCTCAGTCGATGAAGATTCACAACCTCATCAACTAAACGTATTACTGTAACTAAGAGGAAATAATCTATCATCAAAAGGTTAATACAAATGATATATGCTAAACTTTCAAAATAACAGTCAACCTAAACTTGTAGTCAACTTAGCTATGTGTTAAAATTCATAAACCTACCTCTAAAAACAATCTTAATTTGAACAAACAATCCCGTGTGCAAAATCACGGATGCGCGCTGCTGAAGAGTTCCGTATTAGAATAAAACAGAAGTCCAATACTTCCAGGTTCTCAATGGTTGTCTAGCATTGATCTATTCATGATCCCAACTAAAGGCAATAATTTAATTAGGGAGAGACATTGACAGTTACATAACAATGAACAGCTATTCGATGGTAATTTAGAACATTTTAAAAATACAAGTCAAGTCAAATTTATCCTACTTTTAAGTTTTTAATTTTATAGAGACGACAATCTGACAGAAATAAGAAAAAACAGCACTAAAATGAACAAAAAGAATAATATGTTATGATATAATCAGGTTTATCTTGTAACAACAATACAGGCATGTTCGGAATGGGATTCTCCCCCTCGAAATGCATCGACATACGAACTAATGACAGGGAATGAAGTAGTTGGGCGTGTCAACAGCTTCACTTATCTTGGAAGTCTCATCAGCCCTTGTGGTTTAGTGTGTGACGAAATCTCAGCACGGATACAGAAGGCTCGACTAGCTCTCGCCAATTTGCGTCATTTATGGCGTAGGCGAGATATCCGTCTATCAACCAAAGGACGGGTTTACTGCGCAGCAGTTCGTTCCGTCCTACTTTATGGCAGTGAAACATGGCCGGTAAGAGTAGAGGATATTCGTAGGTTACTAGTATTTGATCATATGTAACTTCGAAGCATTGCCCGTATATCCTGGGACCATCGAGTAAGTAATGCAGTTGTTAAGAAACGGGTACTAGGTAAGGATGGCAAATCGATTGATGAAGTAGTGAAACTTCATCAGTTGAGATGGCTGGGACACGTGTTACGTATGCCCAACGACCGACTGCCTCGACGTGCGATGCTCAATGGTATAGGAGTAGTTGAAAGAAACCTAGAGGCAGGCCAGACCAAAACATGGCACAAATCCATTAAGTTACTGATAAGTGGACTGAGTTATGTTGGTAGGTGTAGACTACCTAGTTGGGATCCGCGAGACGATAGCAACCGATGGTTAGAGACCTTGAATTACATGGCTCAAAATTGTTTGCAATAGCGCAGGTGTATCCACTTTTGTGTTCTCTCAAATTCTAATATTCTAAATTCTCCTTGTCTCTTTATTTTTCTCTTCCCAATTTCATTTCACTGGACTATACTCCTTGAATAACATCTCCAAACTCTAATGTTTCCGGTTACTGCTTATACTTTTACTACCTTTACCACTGCGGGATTTGAATGGACAACTATATCTCTGTACTAATATGGTATGGCAACTCGAACTGATGTACGTACGTACGAAGTTTTACGTTGTTGCTAACTGACTGACTGACTGTAAAATTTAACAGCAAATTGATGTTTATGTAGACACATTCAAAGATATCTCATTTCCTTTTCTTTTTATTAAAATTTGTCCTTCTATTGATGATATCAATGTTGTGAGTATCCTCCAGATTAGAAAATACAACACTTACTCTATTACATATCCTTCTTTTTATATTCTTGAAATAACTTTTCTTAAATATTATTTATTCATCTATAAATTCTTAATTTCAATGGTTAAGATCATGAGTCAGTTGAAGCACCATGGAAAACCTGAAAGTACTGGACGGCCGTTTCGCCCCATTGAGGGACTCCTCAGCAGTGCGCATCCACGACCTCGCCCGCCGCGAGATTCGAACTGTTGTAACGTGTGGATTGTAGGTTAAATAGAGCAGAGTATTTATCGATCGAATCAGTGACACGGAAAACACGTAGTGAACGACCTAGTGCCCTGATTGGCCCTGCTTCGCTGTCTAACCCAGCCAGTTGAGTCCAGAATGCAAGTCACAGCCTCTGAGTTATGAATCATTGTATTTCAGACATACTCTATTTATATACTAACCAAACAGACCACATCGTACCATAAAAATAGAAAACAACATCTGTACAATATTTAACGAGTGAAATAAATAATGGCCAATAGGGAATGCCCATTTAGAGTCCAAGGACATCATTAGACTTAACATGGTAATGATTGGTATATTCCTCAGCATCCCTAACACGAACCCAGAATGCGCACTGCTGAGGATTCCCATACTAAGTGAGATGAAACGGCCATCCAGTGCTTCCAGGTCTTCCATGGTGGTCTATTTTCAACTGACTCATGATCTTAACCATTGAAATTACTATAATAACCACAAAACCCATCTGATATAAATTCTTAGTTTATTTTCTTTTATTGTTTTGTTTAAGATGGGATGATAAAACAATGCAAATAACTGATTCTATATTAGGTGAAATGTTATCTATTATGCCAATAATACATATGAAACCAGAAATGGATTATATACCAGATTCAAATGATTATATTGCACCATTATATAAAACTGCAGCCAGAGCTGGTGTATTATCAACAACAGGTAAGTTTTTAACATTAAGGTATTTTCTCTTTTGTTTTTGTCTTTTTTTTTACATTTCATTGTTACTATTTAAGGACAATTTCATTTGTAGATAGTATTTGTTACAGATTGATATCATCTAAGGTATTAATAAAAAGCAGGTAGAATTGGTAGACTGTTTGATCCAAATAGGAAACTCTTCAGAGGTGAATAAGCACAACCCATTTAGAAATGGAAATCAAGACCATCACCACTCTCTCTCTCTCTCTCTCTCTATGAACTCTAGTTACTATGACCATTAACCAGGTGTCCGATATTACAATTTGGAATTCAGTTTAGTTCTCTGATACTCTTATGGTTAATTCGATCTTCAATTTTTAGTCTCATTATATAATAAGTGATATTGGCTACCAATAGAAATCTCAGAAGACATTTTCTTACAATTCAGAACTTACTAAATAGAGAAACTTGCATTCATTAAGACTGAAACTTATCAGCATCAACTGATTCAAAATTCAGATAATTAAGTATTAACCAATGATAATTTAACTTCTGTAAACGAATAACGTATCATTCCTATAATTAAAGAACATCTGGAACTCAAAACAACTGTCAGCCAAAAGCGAAATCACATTTTTCAATACAGACGTCAAGACTCCTACTGTTTGGAGCTGAAACGTGGAAAACTACCATAACCATCACGAAAATAGTACAGGTATTTATAAACAATTGTCTACCCGAGATACTCCATATTCGCTGGCCAGATACCAACGGCAACAAACTACTATGGAAGAGAACGAACTGTCTAACACCTAAAGAGGAAATTAGAAAAAGACGCCGGTGACTAGGGCATACACTGTGAAAATCATTGAACTGCAGCACAAAGGAAGTCTTAATTTGAAATACTGAAGGCAAAAAGATAAGAATACATCGCGACTGAAACTGAAGGCAGACATCAAAAGAATGAATAGCAGTTGGCAACAACTAGAAAGAGCTAAGGACAAAATCATAGTCGGAGACCTATGCTCCAAGAAGAGTAACAGGAGTAAGTAATGTAATCAGACCCCAAATGCCCTGGTACGGCCGAGCGGGGAGATTCAACTCTCTATCCCTCTCGAAATGCTCCCAAGTGGCCACGTGCATATAATCACTGCCAAGGAAGTCCTACTCACTGCATTCTCGTGGCAGTTCTGTTGTTTACGAAATTGGAGACAAAAAGAAAAGGTCCGGTGCTTTAAACGGGTTGTTGGATATGGAGGATCCACGTAGGAGAGTTCGAAAACCCCCATTCCAAACCATTGGTGTACATGGGCTCCAGGATCCTAAGGAAACAAATGGCGTATGAACCAATTATTGGTCACCGGCTACCATGAAACTGCATCTCCTAACGTTGTTCCACTGACTTGTGGATTAGACCTTCAGGTCAACTTTTAAAGTTCATAAATCAGTTTCGTACAAATATTCGGTTTTATCATTTAGTAAATTTCATAGTGAAATTTACTTTAACTCAAATAATAATCCCATTATTTTGCTGAATTAAAAAATATCATGTTTTGTTACCTATTAGTAATGACATTTTATAGTTTACATGACAATCTTTCAAAATCTGGGAGCAATAAACAGACAATTAATTTTAGAGTAAGACTTCAGAACATTGTGCATTAACAGCCACACTGAGGATTAAACCCACAGCCCTCTATGTACCGCAGCTAGCGCCTACCCTTCAGACGAGTAAACCGGTACCCAATGGTCTGTTTACATATCTCGCTGCAACCAAGCTGCGACATTCCGTGACCATCTTCCAATACTATTGGTAGGTGACAGTCTCAGATCTAGCACATTCGAACTCTATTGTTTACAGCTTCGAATGACTGAGCCTATTTCTACCAATTTCCTTACAACCATCTAAGATCAATATCATAATTAGTTTTTATATGATATCTATCCATTTATCACATGTTTATCATTATTATTTTGCTTCACTTTAAGGTATGTCAACAAATTTCATAGTCGCTGTTCCATTGAAAACAAATAAGCCTCAAGCATATTGGATTGAGATGGGTGCAAGTTTACTATGTGAATGTGTAAATCCCTAAGTAAAACAATCTTCAATCGGACAATCAATCATAAAAACAACTTATGTTGATGTATTTAATCTGATATTCCACTTTTATTTACTTAATAACTACGTAAAACATTAATATGATCCTGTTTTATTACTTACTTATCATCTTCAATTATAAAATATTACTTTTCAAATCCCATCTGTCCATACGATTTAAATGAACAGTCAACGACGTTATGGACTAATGTCATGTCTTTATTTGGTCACCTACATCTTCCTCCTCCTTTACTGTTATGCTAGCCAGTATAAAATAGAGTAGGTTGTGGTTAACCGTAGGTGGTACATGTTCCAACTACATTAGTCGATGAAAGTTTACAACTTCGTTAGCTAACACGTCCTCACCTAGTATACAATGCTTGATCTAAACACCAAAAATCCAGCTGTCATCATCCAGGAGCAATGTTCCGAAAATATTTGTGACAAAATAATACTAACTTAAGTACGTCTTGGAGGCTTGACTATAATCTACCATTCACGATGTTGATGGATCGTGAAGAAACTGAGTAATTGAAAATCAGTTGAACTAGCTTTAAAGCACTTTATGGATAGTGAAATAACTACACATACGTTTCAAAGATAGCATAAGCCAACACCACAGAATTGTAGTCCCGGGGAGTGAAACCTAACATTCAGAACATCAACATTTACCTTCTGGTTCGATTACAGGAGTAATATTTCGTAGGCTTATAACGTAAAAACTAGCCGCACGTGCGGAATAGCAGGTTAGAATTGGTTAACAAGGGATGGCGAAAAAATTCTGCTGGAACAAACAGGTTTCTCAACCAATACAGCCCTACTGTATCGTCAGAAAAGTCAATCCCGACTACCGCGTCGAAGTATCAGCCATAGTAGGGTACACATCCTCATCTACAGTCACACTTTCATTAGTGATAAGCCAACACATAAACTAATACCTGTTGATTAAGTAGTTCGACTTCGTGAAACACTTCAAACACATATGGAAAGCGAGCTCTCGTAGTCAAATATAATTTGTTATTAATAATCCTTCCTCAATAAATTTTCTACGTAATATTTTCCGCGTGGTTTACTATCAATCATACGAAAACTATTTTGAAACCTGATCGATCTACCTCCAGTGCTGAAATCTTGTAGTAACGCTAACTTTCAGATACCAACCCATTGGTTATATCCATCAAATTCAAGCAATCACCTACGTATTGAGAAATATCTACCAAGTCAATCTTCTGCATTAATATAATTCATATAATCCATAAATCTATTATCTTATATGAAAAGTTGATCTCAGAGATCACTTGAGTCTTCAGGGTTGCTATACACAGAAAGAAACAATCATGCTGTCACTATTCGGATAGAAAGAACTCAGAATCAAAGCAATCATCAATAGAACTAAGTTTGTATTTTGATTAACATTATAGTATCTTCTTCACTCCAAACATTGTTACAGATTGTTAATTAAAAGATATCTCTCGTTGCATTCCATGAACTACGAGTTAATACCCACCGAGAAAAAAGGTTAGGTAGTATAACATGGTTTTATTTTACCCCGTTAGGTTTTTGTCAGCTACTTAATGACGACTTGAAAATATTTCGAAAACAGAATTTCAAATTTGACCAGAAATTATTAACATGTATCAGTATGTCATAGCAGGTTTTAATACAGTTAAGAAGACTAAATATTTATGTAGCCTTCCCCCAAATTCCCTGGTACGGCCGAGAGTGAGTAGAGTACGCCCTCCCTCTTGAAATGCTCTCACATGGCCACGCGTATATAGCCTCTGTCACAGAAGTCCTACTCACTGCCTTCTCGTGGCGGGCTGTTGTTTACCAAATTGAGAGGACAAGAAGCGAATGTCCGGCGCTTTAACCGGATTCCAAACCAATGGTGCACATGGGCTCCAGTATCCTGCGGGAAGAAATGGTGTATGAACCAATCGTTGGTCACCGGCTACCATGGGACTGCATCTCCTTACGATGCTCCACTGTTTTGTGGATCAGACCTTTAGGTCGAAGGCTCTGTGTGTGGCCCCCTAAGAAAACCACCTGGTTCGGTTTGGGCACCCGGGCAGTATCACAGCCCATACACATATCGAATGATATTTGTGTGGCGCATATGTATTTGGTGCCTCATTGTACCAATGTTTATGTGTTAAAATAAAATAATAAATTATGAGGCCTGTGAACTACGATTAGACTAGAGTTTTTAGTTAAATTATTCCATAGAAAGCTAACTCCTTTTAAAATGCTTTGATTTTAATTACCTTCATCGTCGTCTATTCCAGTGTCAAATTCTGAGTACAGCTTATAAATTTCGACTGACAATCATAAATTCTTCGATAAAATTGCAAAAACTACTGGCGGGAAATATGCAGTAACTTCAATTTCCAATACAAGAGTGACCATGGTGAGATCATATCTTGAAATAAAACAAAAAACATCCATATTTACAATTCCTACTGAAACTAAACACAGGATCATCCTGCGTTTTAGGCTACATCAAGAGCTCTAGATATACTTTAATTTCATATACCTCACGGGCAGTGTGCTCGAAACATGCTAACTGAGGGCTAATAATGACGCAGGTTTGCAAATTTAAGTAAAAACACAAGGATGAAAGTAAAATCCTTTGTTGTATCAAATGGATAGGAGTGCAATCAGTTTTCCACTAAGTTTATTATTGTTTATTTATTAAAACACATAAACATTGGTACAATGAGGCACCAAATACATATGCGCCACACATAAATCATTCGATTTATGTATGGACTGAGATACTGTCCGGCTGCTCAAACCGAAACAGATGGTTTTCTTAAGGGGTCACATCCAGAGCTTTTGACTTAAAGGTCTGATTACTACTACTTACTTACTTACTTACGTACTTACTTAACTTAATTACTTATTACTTACTTACTTACTTACTACTACCTTATTTACTTACTTACTTACTTACGTACTTAATTACTTACTTACTACTTATACTTATTGACTTACTTAACTTACTTACTTACTTACTTACTTACTTACTACTTAATTACTTTACTTACTTACTTACTTACTTACTTACTTACTTACTTACTTACTATTACTTATTACTACTTATTACTTACCTTAACTTACTACTTACTTACTTACTTACTTACTTACTTACTTACTACTTACTTACTTACTTACTTACTTACTACTTACTTACTACTACTTACTTACTTACTTACTTACTTACTTACGCCTGTTATTCCGTGAAGGAGCATAGGCCGCTCAATGTTTTCATCTCTAACTGTTGAAACATGATGAAGCAGAGGATGGATTATTGAGAGTATCATTCTCTTACAGAATTACAAATCTTACTGATGAATGTTGTAGACTATCTTCTAACCTAATTACCCTACCATTGAAATATTCATCTCATTCAACTTGTTCTTTTTTTTTTTTTTTTCTTGTTTTATAGTTTTATACGTCTTGCTGATTATCAAATTCTTAGTACATTACATGTATTAACAGTGAATTCAGTTAATACAATATTAAATTGTTTCAATGAACATTTACAGAATACACCAACATTAAATGAAATTAAAAGATATAAAATTGAAGTAGATGAATTATTAGAAGCTCCATCTAATGATTTAAATATAGGATTAAATAGTATAGATCAACGTAAAGTATCTATCAAGAAGTCAGTAAGTAATATTGTTTGTTTTTGAAATACTGTAATAGAATCTTTTGAACAATCAAACTAGTGATGCATAAAACCAATGCAAACAGTCTAGTGTATTTATCGGTTCTGATTATTGCCAAATCGAACCTGTTAGAGTTCAGAATACCAATCTCAACCTCTGCAATATAAATCATTATATTTCAAACATACTGGGTTTATATACCAATCAGACAGACTACATCATACTATAAAATAAGCAACAACATCTGCACAGGACCAAGCTACGGGCGGCCAGACCAAAACATGGCACAAGTCCATGAAGTCACTGTCAAGTAGACTGAATCATATTGGTAGGTGTAGACTACTTGGTTGGGGACCGCGAGATGATAGCAACCGATGGTTAGAGACCTTGAATGACATGGCTCAAAATCGTTTGCAATGGCGCAGGTGCATCCACTCTTTGTGTTCTCCCAAATTCTAATCTTCTGAATTCTTCATGCCCTTATTTTTGCTCTTTTTAAATTTATTTCACTGGATTATACTCCCAGAATAACATCTTCAAACACTTATGTTTCCGATTACTGCCTATACTCTTATTACCTCTACCAATTCGGGATTTGAATCGACAACTGCATCTTTGTGCTAATGTGGTATGGCAACTCAAACTGATGTACGTACGAAGTTTCACGTTGTTACTGACTGACTGACTGACTTATTCACTATTGACCTATACATGTCATTAATCATCGTATATAGTCATTAACTTAAATCGTGTTAGTGAATAACGGAATTCAAATAAGTCAAATACGAGAATGAATTTTTCGAATATGTATATTACATGTCAGCACGCACCAATCGAATCACGCTTGACGGAGAAGCATTAGAAGATGTAAACACCTATGCATATCTGGGCAGCATCATTGATGAACATGGTAGATCTGATGCAGATGTGATTGCGCCGATCGGCAAAGCAAGTGCAGTATATTTACAATTGAAGAACATCTGGAAATTGTTTATTTCACTTGTTAAATATTTTGTAAATGTTGTTTCCTATTTTATGGTACGATGTGGTATGCTTGGTTGGTATATAAACAAAGTATGTTTGAAATATAATGATTCATAACTTCGGGGCTGTGACTTGTGTTCTTGACTCAACTGGCTACGACAGACAGCGAAGCAGGGCCAATCAGGGCACTAGGTCGTCCTTACATGTTTACGTGTCCACTGTCACCGAATCGATCGATAAATAAACGCTGCTTATCAACCCCTGCAGTCACACCCGTTACAATAGAAATCAAAGCAACTGTCTCTCAACCAACACCAAAATTAGTATTTTCAATACAAATGTCAACACAGTTCTACTGTATGGTGTGGAAACCTGGAGAACTACGTAAGCCATCATGCAGAACATACAAGTGTTTATTAACATTTGTCTACACAAAATACTTCAGATCCGTTGGCCAAACATTATCATCAACAACCTACTATGTGAGAGAACAAACG